TTGTGGGTTTGATCCCGACCCTGACAATGTCTGAAGCTGTATATTTGGAGTTCGCGTCTCTCTCTCACTCATCATCATCATCATCACGTTGACTAGGAGATGTTAACTACCTCGCATGGTGTGCAGGAGGTCGTGGGTTCGATCCCGACCCTGACGATGTCTGAAGCTGTATATGTGGAGTTCGCGTCTCTCTCTCACTCATCATCACCATCATCACGTTGACTAGGAGATGTTAACTACCTCGCCTGGTGTGCAGGAGGTCGTGGGTTCGATCCCGACCCTGACGATGTCTGAAGCTGTATATTTGGAGTCTGCGTCTCTTTCTCACTCATCATCATCATCACTTTGACTAGGAGATGTCAACTACCTCGCCTGGTGTGCAGGAGGCCGTGGGTTCGATCCCAACCCTGACGCCCACGGTGGCTAGGAGATGTTGACTACCTCACCTGGTGTGCAGGAGGTCGTGGGTTCGATCCTGACCCTGACGATGTCTGAAGCTGTATATGTGGAGTTTGTGTCTCTCTCTCATAATCATCATCATCATCATCACGTTGACTAGGAGATGTTAACTACCTCGCCTGGTGTGCAGGAGGTCCTGGGTTCGATCCCGACCCTGACGATGCCTGCTGCTGTATATGTGGAGTTTGTGTCTCTCTCTCATAATCATCATCATCACCATCATCACGTTAACTAGGAGATGTTAACTACCTCGCCTGGTGTGCAGGAGTGATGTGGGTTCGATCCCGACCATGACGATGTCTGAAGCTGTATATTTGGAGTCTGCGTGTCTCTCTCACTCATCATCATCATCATCACGTTGACTAGGAGATGTCAACTACCTCGCCTGGTCTACAGGAGGTTGTGGGTTCGATCCCGACCCTGACGATGTCTGAGGCTGTATATTTGGAGTCTGCGTCTCTCTCTCTCACTCATCATCATCACGGTGGCTAAGAGATGTTAACTACCTCGCCTGGTCTACAGGAGGTCGTGGGTTCGACGCGGACCCTAACGATTCCCGCTGCTGCATTTTCGGCCAACGTTCTCATTCTATAAATAAAACAAAAAAACTCTATTGTGGATGATATTGGTTACGAAAGCCTACCACGTGTTAAACTTCTCATCCCACCACGTGTTAAACTTCACATCCCACCACGTGTTAAACTTCTCATCCCACCACGTGTTTAAACTTCTCATCCCACCACGTGTTAAACTTCTCACCCCACCACGTGTTAAACTTCTCATCCCATCACGTGTTAGACTTCTCATCCCACCACGTGTTAAACTTCTCATCCCACCACGTGTTAGACTTCTCATCCCACCACGTGTTACACTTCTCATCCCACCACGTGTTAAACTCCTCATCCCACCACGTGTTAGACTTCTCACCCCACCACGTGTTAACCTTCTCACCCCACCACGTGTTAAACTTCTCACCTCACCACGTGTTAAACTTCTCATCCCACCACGTGTTAAACTTCTCACCTCACCACGTGTTAGACTTCTCATCCCACCACGTGTTAGACTTCTCATCCCACCACGTGTTAAACTTCTCATCCCACCACGTGTTAGACTTCTCATCCCACCACGTGTTAAACTTCTCATCCCACCACGTGTTAAACTTCTCATCCCACCACGTGTTAAACTTCTCACCCCACCACGTGTTAGACTTCTCATCCCACCACGTGTTAGACTTCTCATCCCACCACGTGTTAAACTTCTCACCTCACCACGTGTTAGACTTCTCATCCCACCACGTGTTAGACTTCTCATCCCACCACGTGTTAAACTTCTCATCCCACCACGTGTTAAACTTCTCACCCCACCACGTGTTAACCTTCTCATCCCACCACGTGTTAAACTTCTCATCCACCACGTGTTAAACTTCTCATCCCACTACGTGTTAAACTTCTCATCCCACCACGTGTTAAACTTCTCATCCCACCACGTGTTAGACTTCTCATCCCACCACGTGTTAAACTTCTCATCCCACCACGTGTTAGACTTCTCACCCCACCACGTGTTAAACTTCTCATCCCACCACGTGTTAAACTTCTCATCCCACCACGTGTTAAACTTCTCATCCCACCACGTGTTAAACTTCTCATCCCACCACGTGTTAAACTTCTCATCCCACCACGTGTTAAACTTCTCATCCCACCACGTGTTAAACTTCTCACCCCACCACGTGTTAAACTTCTCATCCCACCACGTGTTAGACTTCTCATCCCACCACGTGTTAAACTTCTCATCCCACCACGTGTTAAACTTCTCATCCCACCACGTGTTAAACTTCTCATCCCACCACGTGTTAAACTTCTCACCCCACCACGTGTTAAACTTCTCATCCCACCACGTGTTAAACTTCTCATCCCACCACGTGTTAAACTTGTCATCCCACCACGTGTTAAACTTCTCACCCCACCACGTGTTAGACTTCTCATCCCACCACGTGTTAAACTTCTCATCCCACCACGTGTTAAACTTCTCGTCCCACCAAGTGTTAGACTTCTCATCCCACCACGTGTTAGACTTCTCATCCCACCACGTGTTAAACTTCTCATCCCACCACGTGTTAGACTTCTCATCCCACCACGTGTTAGACTTCTCATCCCACCACGTGTTAAACTTCTCATCCCACCACGTGTTAAACTTCTCATCCCACCACGTGTTAGACTTCTCACCCCACCACGTGTTAAACTTCTCATCCCACCACGTGTTAAACTTCTCACCCCACCACGTGTTAGACTTCTCACCCCACCACGTGTTAAACTTCTCATCCCACCACGTGTTAAACTTCTCACCCCACCACGTGTTAAACTTCACATCCCACCACGTGTTAAACTTCTCATCCCACCACGTGTTAGACTTCTCATCCCACCACGTGTTAGACTTCTCATCCCACCACGTGTTAGACTTCTCATCCCACCACGTGTTAAACTTCTCATCCCACCACGTGTTAAACTTCTCACCCCACCACGTGTTAAACTTCTCATCCCACCACGTGTTAAACTTCTCATCCCACCACGTGTTAAACTTCTCATCCCACCACGTGTTAAACTTCTCATCCCACCACGTGTTAAACTTCTCACCCCACCACGTGTTAAACTTCTCATCCCACCACGTGTTAAACTTCTCATCCCACCACGTGTTAAACTTCTCATCCCACCACGTGTTAAACTTCTCATCCCACAACGTGTTAAACTTCTCACACCACCACGTGTTAATCTTCTCATCCCACCACGTGTTAAACTTCTCACCTCACCACGTGTTAAACTTCTCATCCCACCACGTGTTAGACTTCTCATCCCACCACGTGTTGAACTTCTCATCCCACCACGTGTTAGACTTCTCATCCCACCACGTGTTAAACTTCTCACCCCACCACGTGTTAAACTTCTCATCCCACCACGTGTTAGACTTCTCATCCCACCACGTGTTAGACTTCTCATCCCACCACGTGTTAGACTTCTCATCCCACCACGTCTTAAACTTCTCATCCCCACCACGTGTTAAACTTCTCATCCCAGCACGTGTTAAACTTCTCATCCCAGCACGTGTTAAACTTCTCATCTCACCACGTGTTAGACTTCTCATCTCACCACGTGTTAAACTTCTCATCCCACCACGTGTTAAACTTCTCATCCCACCACGTGTTAAACTTCTCATCCCACCACGTGTTAAACTTCTCACCCCACCACGTGTTAGACTTCTCATCCCACCACGTGTTAAACTTCTCATCCCACCACGTGTTAAACTTCTCATCCCAACACGTGTTAAACTTCTCATCCCACCACGTGTTAAACTTCTCATCCCACTACGTGTTAAACTTCTCACCCCACCACGTGTTAAACTTCTCATCCCACCACGTGTTAAACTTCTCACCTCACCACGTGTTAAACTTCTCATCCCACCACGTGTTAGACTTCTCATCCGACTACGTGTTAGACTTCTCATCCCACTACGTGTTAAACTTCTCACCCCACCACGTGTTAAACTTCTCATCCCACTACGTGTTAGACTTCTCATCCCACTACGTGTGAAAATTCTTATCCCAACACGTGTTAGACTTCTCACACCACCACGTGTTAAACTTCTCATCCCACCACGTGTTAGACTTCTCATCCCACTACGTGTTAAACTTCTCACCCCACCACGTGTTAGACTTCTCATCCCACCACGTGTTAAACTTCTCATCCCACCACGTGTTAGACTTCTCATCCCACTACGTGTTAAACTTCTCACCCCACCACGTGTTAGACTTCTCATCCCACCACGTGTTAAACTTCTCATCCCACCACGTGTTAGACTTCTCATCCCACCACGTGTTAAACTTCTCATCACACCACGTGTTAAACTTCTCACCCCACCACGTGTTAAACTTCTCATCCCACCACGTGTTAAACTTCTCACCCCACCACGTGTTAAACTTCTCATCCCACCACGTGTTAGACTTCTCATCCCACCACGTGTTAAACTTCTCATCCCACCACGTGTTAAACTTCTCATCCCACCACGTCTTAAACTTCACATCCCACCAAGTGTTAAACTTCTCATCCCACCACGTGTTAAACTTCTCATCCCACCACGTGTTAAACTTCTCCATCCCACCACGTGTTAAACTTCTCACCCCACCACGTGTTAAACTTCTCATCCCACCACGTGTTAAACTTCTCACCCCACCACGTGTTAAACTTCTCATCCCACCACGTGTTAGACTTCTCATCCCACCACGTGTTAAACTTCTCATCCCACCACGTGTTAAACTTCTCATCCCACCACGTGTTAAACTTCTCATCCCACCACGTGTTAAACTTCTCATCCCACCACGTGTTAAACTTCTCATCCCACCACGTGTTAAACTTCTCATCCCACCACGTGTTAGACTTCTCACACCACCACAATGGCTAGGCACGTGTTTGCGGGGGGGGGGGGGGCTTGTGTCCCACTGACTTCCCCCCCTCTACACTCCCAATCCCCTCCGCTCTCCCCCCCCCCCCCAGGTCTCCTGGGCCCTGTGTTGAGGGCAGAGAAGGGTGACACCATCGAAGTGGTCTTCCTCAACAGGGCCGCGCGGCCCTACAGCCTGCATGCGCACGGCGTCGCATATCGAAAGAGTTCCGAGGGTGAGCGAGGCGCCGGGGGAAACCACGGCACCTCACCCCGGGCGGGGGGCCCTTTGCGACGAGTGTGGGGGGGGGAGGGTGAGAGGGGAGACCCCCGATGAGTGGGATCAGTCGGAGTTTCTGCGTCTCTCTGGGATCGGCAGTCGGATTAGAAGGTTACATAGCTCTGTCTGTCTCTATCTCTCTCTCGATAAGTCTCGATGAGTCTCGCGGCGAAACTTAACGATGAAACTTCACGATGAAAATTAACGACGAAACTTATGACAGCTTACGACAAAACTTGCAATGAAACTTGAAATGAAACTTACAATTAAACATATGGCGAAACTTACAATGAAACTTACAATGAAATTCACGAGGAAACTTACAATGAAACTTACAATGAAACTCACAATGAAACTTATGATAAAACTTACAATGAAACTTACAGTGAAACTTACAATGAAACTTACAATGAAACTTACGGCGAAACTTACGGCGAAACTTACAATGAAACTTACGATGAAACTTACGATGAAACTTGCGATGAAATTTACAATGAAATTTACAATGAAACTTACAATGAAACTTACAATTAAACATATGGCGAAACTTACAATGAAACTTACAATGAAACTTGCGATGAAACTTACAATGAAACTTAAAATGAAACTTACAGTGAAACTTACAGTGAAATTTAAAATTAAACTTAAAATGAAACTTACAGTGAAACTTACAGTGAAATTTAAAATGAAACTTAAAATGAAACTTACAGTGAAACTTACAATGAAACTTACAATGAAACTTACAATGAAACTTACAGTGAAACTTAAAATGAAACTTACAATGAAACTTACAATGAAACTTAATGACGAAACTTACAATGAAACTCACAATGAAACTTAAAATGAAACTTAAAATGAAACTTGCGATAAAACTTACAATGAAACTTACAATGAAACTTACAATGAAACTTAACGACGAAACTTACAATGAAACTTACAATGAAACTTACAATGAAACTTGCGATAAAACTTCCAATGAAACTTAGAATGAAACTTACAATGAAACTTACAATGAAACTTACAATGAAACTTACAATGAAACTTACAATTAAACATATGGCGAAACTTACAATGAAACTTACAATGAAACTTATAACAAAACTTACAATGAAACTTAAAATGAAACTTACAGTGAAACTTACAATGAAACGTAACGACGAAACTTACAATGAAACTTGCGATGAAACTTACAATGAAACTTACAATGAAACTTACAATGAAACTTACAATGAAACTTAACGACGAAACTTACAATAAAACTTACAATGAAATTTAATGACGAAATTTACAATGAAACTCACAATGAAACTTATGATAAAACTTACAATGAAACTTACAATGAAACTTAAAATGAAACTTAAAATGAAACTTACAGTGAAACTTACAATGAAACTTACAATGAAACTTAAAATGAAACTTACAATGAAACTTGCGATAAAACTTACAATGAAACTTACAATGAAACTTACAGTGAAACTTACAATGAAACTTACAATGAAACTTAAAATGAAACTTACAGTGAAACTTACAATAAAACTTACAGTGAAACTTACAGTGAAACTTACAATGAAACTTACAATGAAACTTAACGACGAAACTTACAGTGAAACTTACAATGAAACTTACAATGAAACTTAAAATGAAACTTACAGTGAAACTTACAATGAAACTTACAATGAAACTTACAGTGAAACTTACAGTGAAACTTAAAATGAAACTTACAGTGAAACTTACAATGAAACTTACAATGAAACTTACAGTGAAACTTAAAATGAAACTTACAATGAAACTTACAATGAAACTTACAATGAAACTTAATGACGAAACTTACAATGAAACTCACAATGAAACTTAAAATGAAACTTAAAATGAAACTTGCGATAAAACTTACAATGAAACTTACAATGAAACTTACAATGAAACTTAACGACGAAACTTACAATGAAACTTACAATGAAACTTACAATGAAACTTGCGATAAAACTTCCAATGAAACTTAGAATGAAACTTACAATGAAACTTACAATGAAACTTACAATGAAACTTACAATGAAACTTACAATTAAACATATGGCGAAACTTACAATGAAACTTACAATGAAACTTATAACAAAACTTACAATGAAACTTAAAATGAAACTTACAGTGAAACTTACAATGAAACGTAACGACGAAACTTACAATGAAACTTGCGATGAAACTTACAATGAAACTTACAATGAAACTTACAATGAAACTTACAATGAAACTTACAATGAAACTTAACGACGAAACTTACAATAAAACTTACAATGAAATTTAATGACGAAATTTACAATGAAACTCACAATGAAACTAATGATAAAACTTACAATGAAACTTACAATGAAACTTACAATGAAACTTAAAATGAAACTTAAAATGAAACTTACAGTGAAACTTACAATGAAACTTACAATGAAACTTACAATGAAACTTGCGATGAAACTTACAATGAAACTTACAATGAAACTTACAATGAAACTTACAATGAAACTTACAATGCAAATTACAATGAAACTTACAATGAAACTTACAATGAAACTTGCGATAAAACTTACAATGAAACTTACAATGAAACTTACAGTGAAACTTACAATGAAACTTACAATGAAACTTACAATGAAACTTACAATGAAACTTAAAATGAAACTTACAATGAAACTTACAATGAAACTTACAATGAAACTTGCGATAAAACTTACAATGAAACTTACAATGAAACTTACAGTGAAACTTACAATGAAACTTACAATGAAACTTAAAATGAAACTTACAGTGAAACTTACAATGAAACTTACAATGAAACTTAACGACTAAACTTTCAGTGAAACTTACAATAAAACTTACAATGAAACTTACAATGAAACTTACAATGAAACTTACAGTGAAACTTAAAATGAAACTTACAATGAAACTTAAAATGAAACTTACAATGAAACTTAAAATGAAACTTACAATGAAACTTACAATGAAACTTATAGTGAAACTTACAATGAAACTTACAATGAAACTTAAAATGAAACTTATAGTGAAACTTACAATGAAACTTGCGATGAAACTTACAATTAAACTTGCGATAAAACTTACAGTGAAACTTACAATGAAACTTAAAATGAAACTTAACGACGAAACTTACAATGAAACTTACAATGAAACTTACAATGAAACTTGCGATAAAACTTACAATGAAACTTAAAATGAAACTTAAAATGAAACTTACAGTGAAACTTACAATGAAACTTACAATGAAACTTAAAATGAAACTTACAATGAAACTTGCGATGAAACTTACAATGAAACTTACAATGAAACTTACAATGAAACTTACAATTAAACTTAAAATGAAACTTACAGTGAAACTTACAATGAAACTTACAGTGAAACTTACAATGAAACTTACAATGAAACTTACAATGAAACTTGCGATAAAACTTACAATTAAACTTGCGATGAAACTTACAATGAAACTTACAATGAAACTTACAATGAAACTTAACGACGAAACTTACAGTGAAACTTACGATGAAACTTACAATGAAACTCACAATGAAACTCACAATGAAACTTACAATGAAACTTACAATGAAACTTACAATGAAACTTGCGATGAAACTTACAATGAAACTTACAATGAAACTTAAAATGAAACTTACAGTGAAACTTACAATGAAACCTACAATGAAACTTACAATGAAACTTACAATGAAACTTGCGATGAAACTTATAATGAAACTTACAATGAAACTTACAATGAAACTCACAATGAAACTTACAATGAAACTCACAATGAAACTCACAATGAAACTTGCGATAAAACTTACAATTAAACTTACAATGAACTTACAATGAAACTTACAATGAAACTAACAATGAAACTTACAATGAAACTTACAATGAAACTTACAATGAAACTAACAATGAAACTTACAATGAAACTTACAATGAAACTTAACGACGAAACTTACAATAAAACTTACAATAAAACTTACAATGAAACTTATAATGAAACTTACAATGAAACTCACAATAAAACTTACAATGAAACTTAAAATGAAACTTACAATGAAACTCACAATGAAACTTAACGACGAAACTCACAATGAAACTTACAATTAAATTTATGATTAAACTTATGATAAAACTTACAATGAAACTTACAATGAAACTTATCGACGAAACTTACAACGAAACTTACAATGAAATTTGCAATAAAACTTACAATGAAACTTACAATAAAACTCACAATGAAACTTGCGATAAAACTTACAATGAAATTTACAGTGAAACTTACGATAAAACTTAAAATAAAACTTACAGTGAAACTTACAATGAAACTTACAATGAAACTTACAATAAAACTTACAATGAAACTTACAATAAAACTCACAATGAAACTTGCGATAAAACTTACAATGAAACTTACAATGAAACTTAACGACGAAACTCACAATGAAACTTAACAACGATACTTACAGTGAAACTCGCGGCGACACTCACTCACGCTTGTCTCGGCCAGGCGCCGCCTACGTGGACGGCACCTCCACCGAGGAGGAGAAGGCGGACGACGCCGTGGCCCCGGGCCAGCGCCACACGTACGTGTGGGGGGTTGACGAGGGGCCCACGGACCTCGACCCCGAGTGCCTCACCTACGCCTACCACTCGCACGTGGACACCGTCAGGGACGCCGGCTCGGGGCTCTACGGGGCGCTCGTGGTCTGTAGGAATGGTACGTGTGTGTGTGTCTGTGTACACGTGTGTGTGTGTGTACACATGTGTGTGTGTGTACACGTGTGTGTGTGTCTGTGTGTGTGTACACGTGTGTGTGTACACGTGTGTGTGTGTACACGTGTGTGTGTGTACACGTGTGTGTGTGTACACGTGTGTGTGTGTGTGTACCTACGCCTACCACTCGCACGTGGACACCGTCAGGGACGCCGGCTCGGGGCTCTACGGGGCGCTCGTCGTCTGTAGGAATGGTACGTGTGTGTGTGTGTGTACACGTGTGTGTGTGTGTACACGTGTGTGTGTGTACACGTGTGTGTGTGTACACGTGTGTGTGTGTGTGTACACGTGTGTGTGTGTACACGTGTGTGTGTGTGTACACGTGTGTGTGTACACGTGTGTGTGTACACGTGTGTGTGTGTACACGTGTGTGTGTACACGTGTGTGTGTACACGTGTGTGTGTGTGTGTGTCTGTATGTGTGTACACGTGTGTGTGTACACGTGTGTGTGTTCACGTGTGTGTGTGTGTGTGTACACGTGTGTGTGTGTCTGTGTGTGTGTGTACACGTGTGTGTGTGTGTGTACACGTGTGTGTGTGTCTGTGTGTGTGTACACGTGTGTGTGTACACGTGTGTGTGTGTACACGTGTGTGTGTGTACACGTGTGTGTGTGTGTACACCTGTGTGTGTGTGTGTACACGTGTGTGTGTGTGTACACGTGTGTGTGTGTCTGTGTGTGTGTACACGTGTGTGTGTGTGTACACGTGTGTGTGTGTGTGTACACGTGTGTGTGTGTGTGCACCTACGCCTACCACTCGCACGTGGACACCGTCAGGGACGCCGGCTCGGGACTCTACGGGGCGCTCGTCGTCTGTAGGAATGGTACGTGTGTGTGTGTGTGTACACGTGTGTGTGTGTACACGTGTGTGTGTGTGTGTACACGTGTGTGTGTGTGTACACGTGTGTGTGTGTGTGTCTGTGTGTACACGTGTGTGTGTGTGTGTGTGTCTGTGTGTGTGTACACGTGTGTGTGTACACGTGTGTGTGTGTGTGTGTACACGTGTGTGTGTGTGTACACGTGTGTGTGTGTGTGTCTGTGTGTACACGTGTGTGTGTGTGTGTGTGTCTGTGTGTGTGTACACGTGTGTGTGTACACGTGTGTGTGTGTGTACACGTGTGTGTGTGTGTACACGTGTGTGTGTGTGTACCTACGCCTACCACTCGCACGTGGACACCGTCAGGGACGCCGGCTCGGGGCTCTACGGGGCGCTCGTCGTCTGTAGGAATGGTACGTGTGTGTGTGTGTGTACACGTGTGTGTGTGTACACGTGTGTGTGTGTACACGTGTGTGTGTGTCTGTGTGTACACGTGTGTGTGTGTACACGTGTGTGTGTGTACACGTGTGTGTGTACGTGTGTGTGTGTGTACACGTGTGTGTGTGTACACGTGTGTGTGTGTACACGTGTGTGTGTGTGTACACGTGTGTGTGTGTGTGTACACGTGTGTGTGTGTGTACACGTGTGTGTGTGTGTGTGTACACGTGTGTGTGTGTACACGTGTGTGTGTGTACACGTGTGTGTGTACACGTGTGTGTGTATACGTGTGTGTCTGTGTGTGTACACGTGTGTGTGTGTACCTACGCCTACCACTCGCACGTGGACACCGTCAGGGACGCCGGCTCGGGGCTATACGGGGCGCTCGTGGTCTGTAGGAATGGTACGTGTGTGTGTGTGTGTACACGTGTGTGTGTACACGTGTGTGTGTGTGTACACGTGTGTGTGTGTGTGTGTATACACGTGTGTGTGTGTGTGTACACGTGTGTGTGTACACGTGTGTGTGTCTGTGTGTGTACACGTGTGTGTGTACACGTGTGTGTGTGTCTGTGTGTGTGTCTGTGTGTACACGTGTGTGTACACGTGTGTGTGTGTACACGTGTGTGTGTGTACACGTGTGTGTGTCTGTGTGTGTGTACACGTGTGTGTGTGTACACGTGTGTGTGTCTGTGTTTGTGTACACGTGTGTGTGTACACGTGTGTGTGTGTACACGTGTGTGTGTGTACACGTGTGCGTGTGTACACGTGTGTGTGTGTACACGTGTGTGTGTGTCTGTGTGTGTGTCTGTGTGTACACGTGTGTGTGTGTACACGTGTGTGTGTGTACACGTGTGTGTGTGTGTACACGTGTGTGTGTGTACACGTGTGTGTGTGTGTGTGTGTACACGCGTGTGTGTGTACACGTGTGTGTGTCTGTGTGTGTACACGTGTGTGTGTACACGTGTGTGTGTCTGTGTGCGTGTACACGTGTGTGTGTCTGTGTGTGCGTGTATGTGTACACGTGTGTGTCTGTGTGTGTACACGTGTGTGTACACGTGTGTGTGTACACGTGTGTGTATTCACGTGTGTGTGTGTACACGTGTGTGTGTACACGTGTGTGTGTACACGTGTGTATGTGTGTGTGTGTACACGTGTGTATGTGTTCACGTGTGTGTGTGTACACGTGTGTGTATATACGTGTGTGTGTACACGTGTGTGTGTACACGTGTGTGTGTGTGTCTGTGTGTGTGTGTGTACACGTATGTGTGTGTACACGTGTGTGTGTGTCACTGTATCGCTATGTGATGTGGGGAGCGGTAGTGTAGTGGTTAGCGCCACGCTGCGCTATGAAAACGGCTGTCCGAATTCGATTCCCGCTCACGGCCAACACCGGTGACGATTATCTGAACCGGTGCTGGGCTTCCCCTAGGTCGACTCAGCCTCAAATGAGTACCTAGTGCAGTGTGTAGTGAACATCGCCACTGGGAAGACAAAGGCGGCCGGGCGTGGTGCTGGTAGCCAACCACCCCCTCGTGTGCCGTTCAGGCCTTCATAGGTGCTCGCTAAGAGCACTTGCCCCTACGGTCTGTTACAGGCTATACGGGGGGTCTTTGTATTTTGTGTACGTGGAGTCTATGGCTCTGGCTCTCTCAGCAAATCTACGGCTCTCTGAGCGAGTCCATGACCCTCTGGCTCGCTGAGCCAGTCTATGGCTCGCTGGCTGTCTGAGCGAGTCTATGGCTCTCTGAGCGAGTCTATGACTCTCTGATCGAGTCTATGGGTTTCTGTGTGCGTCTATGGCTCTCTGAGCGAGTCTATGGGTCTCTGTGTGAGTCTATGGGTCTCTGAGCGAGTCTATGGGTCTCTGTGTGAATCTATGGGTCTCTGAGCGAGTCTATGGGTCTCCGTGCGAGTCTATGGCTCGCTGGCTATCTGAGCGAGTCTATGGCTCTCTGAGCGTGTCTATGAATCTCTGTGTGAGTCTATGGCTAGCTGTGTGAGTCTATGGCTGTCTGAGCGAGTCTATGGGTCTCTGTGTGAGTCTATGGGTCTCTGAACGAGTTTATAGCTCTCTGTGCGAGTCTATGGCTCTCTGTGTGAGTATATGGCTCTCTGTGTGAGTCTATGGGTCTCTGTGTGAGTCTATGGGTCTCTGTGTGAGTCTATGGCTCTCTGAGCGAGTCTATTGGTCTCTGTGTGAGTCTATGGCTCTCTGTGTGAGTCTATGGGTCTCTGTGTGAGTCTATGGGTCTCTGTGTGAGTCTATGGGTCTCTGTGTGAGTCTATGGGTCTCTGTGTGAGTCTATGGCTCTCTGAGCGAGTCTATTGGTCTCTGTGTGAGTCTATGGCTCTCTGTGTGAGTCTATGGGTCTCTGTATGAGTCTATGGGTCTCTGTGTGAGTCTATGGCTCTCTGAGCGAGTCTATGGGTCTCTGTGTGAGTCTATGGGTCTCTGAGCGAGTTTATGGCTCGCTGGCTCTCAGAGCCGGTCTATGGCTCTCTGAGCGAGTCTATGGCCCTCTGACTCTCTGAGCGAGTCTATGGATCTCTGAGCGAGTTTATGGCTCGCTGGCTGTCTGAGCGAGTCTATGGCTCTCTGAGCAAGTCTGCGGCTCTCCGAGCCTGCCCGTGGCTCTCTGGCTCTCTGAGCGAGCCAGCGTCTCTCCCAGGGAGTCTACGTCTCCCTGGCTCTCAGACAGACAGAGTCCACGTGGCTCTCTGTCTCTCTGAGAGAGAGTCTGGGGCTCTCTGAGAGAGTCTACGTCTCTCTGTCTCTCTGAGAGAGAGTCAGCGTCTCTCCCAGGGAGTCTACGTCTCTCTGCATCTCTGAGAGACAGTCTGCGTCTCTCTGGATCTCTGAGAGACAGTCTGCATCTCTCCCAGGGAGTCTACGTCTCTCTGTCTCTCTGAGAGACAGTCTACGTCTCTCTGGATCTCTGAGAGACAGTCAGCGTCTCTCTGGATCTCTGAGAGACAGTCTGGGGCTCTCTGAGGGAGTCTACGTCTCTCTGGATCTCTGAGAGAGAGTCAAAGTCTCTCCCAGGGAGCCTACTGCTTTCTGACTCTCAGACAGAGTCCACGTGGCTCTCTGTCTCTCTGAGAGACAGTCAGCGTCTCTCTGAGGGAGTCTACGTCTCTCTGTCTCTCTGAGAGAGAGTCTGCGGCTCTCTGAGGTGGTCTACGTCTCTCTGTCTCTCTGAGAGAGAGTCAGCGTCTCTCCCAGGGAGTCTACGTCTCTCTGGATCTCTGAGAGACAGTCTGCATCTCTCTCAGGGAGTCTACGTCTCTCTGGATCTCTGAGAGACAGTCAGCGTCTCTCTGAGGGAGCCTACGTCTCTCTGGATCTCTGAGAGACAGTCTGGGGCTCTCTGAGGGAGTCTACGTCTCTCTGTCTCTCTGAGAGAGTGTCAAAGTCTCTCCCAGGGAGCCTACGTCTCTCTGGATCTCTGAGAGACAGTCTGGCGCTCTCTGGATCTCTGAGAGAGAGTCTGGGGCTCTCTGTCTCTCTGAGAGACAGTCTATGTCTCTCTGGATCTCTGAGAGACAGTCTGCATCTCTCTCAGGGAGCCTACGTCTCTCTGGATCTCTGAGAGACAGTCAGCGTCTCTCTGGATCTCTGAGAGACAGTCTATGTCTCTCTGGATCTCTGAGAGACAGTCATTGTCTCTCCCAGGGAGTCTACGTCTCTCTGGATCTCTGAGAGACAGTCTGCATCTCTCCCAGGGAGTCTACGTCTCTCTGGATCTCTGAGAGACAGTCTGCATCTCTCCCAGGGAGTCTACGTCTCTCTGGATCTCTGAGAGAGAGTCAAAGTCTCTCCCAGGGAGTCTACGTCTCTCTGGATCTCTGAGAGACAGTCTGCATCTCTCTCAGGGAGTCTACGTCTCTCTGGATCTCTGAGGGAGTCTACGTCTCTCTGGATCTCTGAGAGACAGTCTGCATCTCTCCCAGGGAGTCTACGTCTCTCTGGATCTCTGAGAGAGAGTCAAAGTCTCTCCCAGGGAGTCTACGTCTCTCTGGATCTCTGAGAGAGAGTCAAAGTCTCTCCCAGGGAGTCTACGTCTCTCTGGATCTCTGAGAGACAGTCTGCGTCTCTCCCAGGGAGTCTACGTCTCTCTGGATCTCTGAGAGACAGTCTGCATCTCTCCCAGGGAGTCTACGTCTCTCTGGATCTCTGAGAGAGAGTCATTGTCTCTCCCAGGGAGTCTACGTCTCTCTGGATCTCTGAGAGACAGTCTGCATCTCTCCCAGGGAGTCTACGTCTCTCTGGATCTCTGAGAGAGAGTCATTGTCTCTCCCAGGGAGTCTACGTCTCTCTGGATCTCTGAGAGAGAGTCAAAGTCTCTCCCAGGGAGTCTACGTCTCTCTGGATCTCTGAGAGACAGTCTGCGTCTCTCTCAGGGAGTCTACGTCTCTCTGGATCTCTGAGAGACAGTCATTGTCTCTCCCAGGGAGTCTACGTCTCTCTGGATCTCTGAGAGACAGTCAAAGTCTCTTCCAGGGAGCCTACTGCTTTCTGACTCTCAGACAGAGTCCACGTGGCTCTCTGGATCTCTGAGAGACAGTCTGCATCTCTCTCAGGGAGTCTACGTCTCTCTGGATCTCTGAGAAAGAGTCAGCGTCTCTCCCAGGGAGTCTACGTCTCTCTGGATCTCTGAGGGAGTCTACGTCTCTCTGGATCTCTGAGAGACAGTCTGCATCTCTCCCAGGGAGCCTACGTCTCTCTGAATATCTGAGAGACAGTCTGCATCTCTCTCAGGGAGTCTACGTCTCTCTGGATCTCTGAGAGAGAGTCAGCGTCTCTCCCAGGGAGTCTACGTCTCTCTGGATCTCTGAGGGAGTCTACGTCTCTCTGGATCTCTGAGAGACAGTCTGCATCTCTCCCAGGGAGCCTACGTCTCTCTGAATATCTGAGAGACAGTCTGCATCTCTCTCAGGGAGCCTACTGCTTTCTGACTCTCAGACAGAGTCCACGTCGCTCTCTGGATCTCTGAGAGACAGTCTGGGGCTCTCTGAGGGAGTCTACGTCTCTCTGGATCTCTGAGAGAGAGTCAAAGTCTCTCCCAGGGAGTCTACGTCTCTCTGGATCTCTGAGAGACAGTCTACGTCTCTCTGGATCTCCTCCGAACGCGGCATCACCCCCCCCCCCCCCTGCCCCCCCCCCCCCCCCCTCAGGCTCGCTGGACGTGCACGGTCGGCAGAAGCTGGCGGAGCGATCTATCGTGCTGGCGTTCGCCTCCTACTCGCAGGCGCACAGCTGGTACAGCGCGGGCAGCGAACTCACCTACACCATCAACGGCTTCGAGCGGGGACACATCCCAGGTGCGGCGGAGACGCACGGAGACGCATAGAGACACGTGGAGATGCGTAGAGACTCGTAGAGACACACGGAGACTCATAGAGACTCGTAGAGACACACAGGAACTCACTGAGATTCATAGAGACTCGTAGAGACACACGGAGACTCATAGAGACACGTAGAGATACACAGGGACTCGTAGAGTCACACGGAGACGCATAGAGACACGTAGAGTTACGTAGAGAATCGTAGAGACACACGGAGACGCATAGAGACATGTAGAGATACGTAGAGACTCGTAGAGACACAAAAAGACTCATAGAGACACGTAGAGTTACGTAGAGACTCGTAGAGACACACAGAGACGCATAGAGACAGGTGGAGATGCGTAGAGACTCGTAGAGACACAGGGAGACGCATAGAGACAGGTAGAGATACGTAGAGACTCGTAGAGACACACGGAGACTCGTAGAGACACGTAGAGATACGTAGAGACTCGTAGAGACACACGGAGACTCATAGAGACACGTGGAGATACGTAGAGACTCGTAGAGTCACACGGAGACGCATAGAGACACGTGGAGATGCGTAGAGACTCGTAGAGACACACGGAGACTCATAGAGACACGTGGAGATACGTAGAGAATCGTAGAGACACACGGAGACGCATAGAGACATGTAGAGATACGTAGAGACTCGTAGAGACACACGGAGACTCGTAGAGACACGTAGAGACACACAGGAACTCACTGAGATTCATAGAGACTCGTAGAGACACAGGGAGACTCATAGAGACTCGTAGAGACACACAGGAACTCACTGAGATTCGTAGAGACTCGTAGAGACACACGGAGACGCATGGAGACACGTGGAGATGCGTAGAGACTCGTAGAGTCACACGGAGACTCATAGAGACTCAGAGAGACTCATAGAGACTCGTAGAGACACACGGGGACTCATAGAGACTCAGAGAGACTCATAGAGACTCGTAGAGACACACGGGGACTCATAGAGACACGTGGAGATACGTAGAGACTCGTAGAGACACACGGGAGACGCATAGAGACAGGTGGAGATACGTAGAGACTCGTAGAGTCACACGGGGACTCATAGAGACTTGTAGAGACACACGGGGACTCACTGAGATTCATAGAGACTCGTAGAGACACACGGAGACGCATAGAGACACGTAGAGATACGTAGAGACTCGTAGAGACACACGGAGACGCATAGAGACACGTGGAGATACGTAGAGACTCGTAGAGTCACACGGGGACTCATAGAGACTTGTAGAGACACACGGGGACTCACTGAGATTCATAGAGACTCGTAGAGACACACGGAGACGCATAGAGACACGTAGAGATACGTAGAGACTCGTAGAGACACACGGAGACGCATAGAGACACGTGGAGATACGTAGAGACTCGTAGAGTCACACGGGGACTCATAGAGACTTGTAGAGACACACGGGGACTCACTGAGATTCATAGAGACTCGTAGAGACACACGGAGACGCATAGAGACACGTAGAGATACGTAGAGACTCGTAGAGACACACGGAGACGCATAGAGACACGTGGAGATACGTAGAGACTCGTAGAGTCACACGGGGACTCATAGAGACACGTGGAGATACGTAGAGACTCGTAGAGACACAGGGAGACGCATAGAGATAGGTGGAGATACGTGGAGACTCGTAGAGACACACAGAGACGCATAGAGATACGTGGAGATACGTAGAGACTCGTAGAGACACACAGAGACGCATAGAGACACAGGGAGATGCGTAGAGACTCGTAGAGACACACGGAGACGCATAGAGACTCAGAGAGACTCGTAGAGACTCATAGAGACACAAAGAGACTCACTGAGATTCATAGAGACTCGTAGAGACACAAAGAGACTCATAGAGAATCGTAGAGACGCACGGAGACTCGTAGAGACACGTGGAGATACGTAGAGACTCGTAGAGACACACGGAGACGCATAGAGACTCAGAGAGACTCATAGAGACTCATAGAGACACAAAGAAACTCATAGAGAATCGTAGAGACACACGGAGACTCACTGAGATTCATAGAGACTCGTAGAGACACACGGAGACTCATAGAGACACGTGGAGATACGTGGAGACTCGTAGAGACACACGGGGACGCATAGAGAGACGTAGAAATACGTAGAGACTCGTAGAGACACACGGAGACGCATAGAGACTCGTAGAGGCACACAGGAACTCACTGAGATTCATAGAGACTCGTAGAGACACACGGGGACGCATAGAGACACGTAGAGATACGTAGAGACTCGTAGAGACACACGGAGACGCATAGAGACACGTGGAGATGCGTAGAGACTCGTAGAGTCACACGGAGACTCATAGAGACTCAGAGAGACTCATAGAGACTCGTAGAGACACAGGGAGACGCATAGAGACACGTGGAGATACGTAGAGACTCGTAGAGACACACGGAGACGCATAGAGACACGTGGAGATGCGTAGAGACTCGTAGAGACACACGGAGACGCATAGAGACTCAGAGAGACTCATAGAGACTCATAGAGACACAAAGAGACTCACTGAGATTCATAGAGACTCGTAGAGACACACGGAGATGCATAGAGACACGTAGAGTTACGTAGAGACGCGTAGAGACACACGGAGACGCATAGAGACTCAGAGAGACTCATAGAGACTCGTAGAGACACAAAGAGACTCACTGAGATTCATAGAGACTCGTAGAGACTCAGAGAGACTCATAGAGATTCGTAGAGACACAAAGAGACTCACTGAGATTCATAGAGACTCGTAGAGACACACGGGGACTCACTGAGATTCATAGAGACTCGTAGAGACACAAAAAGACTCATAGAGACACGTGGAGATACGTAGAGACTCGTAGAGACACACGGAGACTCATAGAGACTCGTAGATATACGTAGAGACTCGTAGAGACATACAGAGACTCAGAGATTCATAGAGACTCGTAGAGACACACGGAGACTCACGGAGACTCATAGAGACTCGTTGAGACAAACGGAGACTCATAGAGAGTCGTAGAGACACACGGAGACTCATAGAGACTCGTAGAGACACACGGAGACAAACGCAGACTCATAGAGACTCGTATAGACACACGGAGACTCATAGAGTATCGTAGACACACGTGGGGACTCACGCCATCTCATAGAGACTCGTAGAGACACACGCAGACGCATAGAGACACGTAGATATACGTAGAGACTCGTAGAGACACACGGGGACTCAATGAGATTCATAGAGACTCGTAGAGACACACGGAGACTCACTGAGACTCGTAGAGACACACTCACACCCGCTGAGATTCATAGAATCTCGTAGAGACACACGGAGACTCACTGAGATTCATAGAGACTCATAGAGACACACGGGGAATCATAGAGACTCGTAGAGACACACGGAGACTCACTGAGATTCATAGAGACTCATAGAGACACACGGGGAATCATAGAGACTCGTAGAGACACACGGAGACTCACTGAGATTCATAGAGACTCATAGAGACACAAAGAGACTCACTGAGATTCATAGAGACTCTTAGAGACCCACGGAGACTCAGAGAGACTCGTAGAGACGCATAGAGACTCACAGAGACTCGTCGACACACGTGGAGACTCACTGAGACTCGTAGAGATACACGTGGAGACTCACAGAGACTCGTAGAGACTCACTAGGATTTACAGAGACTCGTAGAGACACACGGATACTCATGGAGACTCACAGAGACTCGTCGACAAACGTGGAGACTCATTGAGACTCGTAGAGACTTATATAGACACACGGAGACACATTGAGACTCGTAGAGACACACAGAGACTCACTGAGATTCACAGAGACTCGTAGAGACTCATAGACACACGTGGAGAATCACAGAGACTCGTAGAGACACACGGGGACTCATAGAGATTCATAGAGACTCATGGAGACTCACACAGAGACTCGTAGAGACACACGGAGACTCATTGAGACTCGTAGAGACACACAGAGACTCACTGAGATTCATAGAGACTCGTAGAGACTCATAGACACACGTGGAGAATCACAGAGACTCGTAGAGACACACGGAGAATCATGGACACTCACAGAGACTCGTCGACACACGTGGAGACTCACTGAGACTCGTAGAGACACACAGAGACTCACTGAAACTCGTAGAGACACACGTGGAGACTCACTGAGATTCATAGAGACTCACTGAGACTCGTAGAGACACGTGGAGACTCACAGAGACTCGTAGAGACACACGTGGAGACTCACAGAGACTCGTAGAGACACACGTGGAGACTCACTGAAACTCGTAGAGACACACGGAGACTCACTGAAACTCGTAGAGACTCACTGAGACTCGTAGAGACACGTGGAGACTCACTGAGACTCGTAGAGACACACAGAGACTCACTGAGATTCATAGAGACTCGTAGAGACTCATAGACACACGTGGAGAATCACAGAGACTCGTAGAGACACACGGAGAATCATGGACACTCACAGAGACTCGTCGACACACGTGGAGACTCACTGAGACTCGTAGAGACACACATAGACTCACTGAGATTCATAGAGACTCGTAGAGACTCATAGACACACGTGGAGAATCACAGAGACTCGTAGAGACACACGGAGAATCATGGACACTCACAGAGACTCGTCGACACACTTGGAGACTCACTGAGACTCGTAGAGACACACAGAGACTCACTGAGATTCATAGAGACTCGTAGAGACTCATAGACACACGTGGAGAATCACAGAGACTCGTAGAGACACACGGAGAATCATGGACACTCACAGAGACTCGTCGACACACGTGGAGACTCACTGAGACTCGTAGAGACACACAGAGACTCACTGAGATTCATAGAGACTCGTAGAGACTCATAGACACACGTGGAGACTCACTGAGACTCGTAGAGACACACAGAGACTCACTGAGATTCATAGAGACTCGTAGAGACTCATAGACACACGTGGAGACTCACTGAGACTCGTAGAGACACGTGGAGACTCACTGAAACTCGTAGAGACACACGTGGAGACTCACTGAGATTCATAGAGACTCACTGAGACTCGTAGAGACACGTGGAGACTCACAGAGACTCGTAGAGACACACGTGGAGACTCACAGAGACTCGTAGAGACACACGTGGAGACTCACTGAAACTCGTAGAGACACACGGAGACTCACTGAAACTCGTAGAGACTCACTGAGACTCGTAGAGACACGTGGAGACTCACTGAGACTCGTAGAGACACACAGAGACTCACTGAGATTCATAGAGACTCGTAGAGACTCATAGACACACGTGGAGAATCACAGAGACTCGTAGAGACACACGGAGAATCATGGACACTCACAGAGACTCGTCGACACACGTGGAGACTCACTGAGACTCGTAGAGACACACAGAGACTCACTGAGATTCATAGAGACTCGTAGAGACTCATAGACACACGTGGAGACTCACTGAGACTCGTAGAGACACGTGGAGGCTCACTGAAACTCGTAGAGACACGTGGAGACTCACTGAAACTCGTAGAGACACGTGGAGACTCACTGAGATTCATAGAGACTCACTGAGACTCGTAGAGACACGTGGAGACTCACAGAGACTCGTAGAGACACACGTGGAGACTCACAGAGACTCGTAGAGACACACGTGGAGACTCACTGAAACTCGTAGAGACACACGGAGACTCACTGAAACTCGTAGAGACTCACTGAGACTCGTAGAGACACGTGGAGACTCACTGAGACTCGTAGAGACACACAGAGACTCACTGAGATTCATAGAGACTCGTAGAGACTCATAGACACACGTGGAGAATCACAGAGACTCGTAGAGACACACGGAGAATCATGGACACTCACAGAGACTCGTCGACACACGTGGAGACTCACTGAGACTCGTAGAGACACACAGAGACTCACTGAGATTCATAGAGACTCGTAGAGACTCATAGACACACGTGGAGACTCACTGAGACTGGTAGAGACACACAGAGACTCACTGAGATTCATAGAGACTCGTAGAGACTCATAGACACACGTGGAGACTCACTGAGACTCGTAGAGACACGTGGAGACTCACTGAAACTCGTAGAGACACACGTGGAGACTCACTGAGATTCATAGAGACTCACTGAGACTCGTAGAGACACGTGGAGACTCACAGAAACTCGTAGAGACACACGTGGAGACTCACAGAGACTCGTAGAGACACACGTGGAGACTCACTGAAACTCGTAGAGACACACGGAGACTCACTGAAACTCGTAGAGACTCACTGAGACTCGTAGAGACACGTGGAGACTCACTGAGACTCGTAGAGACACACAGAGACTCACTGAGATTCATAGAGACTCGTAGAGACTCATAGACACACGTGGAGAATCACAGAGACTCGTAGAGACACACGGAGAATCATGGACACTCACAGAGACTCGTCGACACACGTGGAGACTCACTGAGACTCGTAGAGACACACAGAGACTCACTGAGATTCATAGAGACTCGTAGAGACTCATAGACACACGTGGAGACTCACTGAGACTCGTAGAGACACGTGGAGGCTCACTGAAACTCGTAGAGACACGTGGAGACTCACTGAAACTCGTAGAGACACGTGGAGACTCACTGAGATTCATAGAGACTCACTGAGACTCGTAGAGACACGTGGAGACTCACAGAGACTCGTAGAGACACACGTGGAGACTCACAGAGACTCGTAGAGACACACGTGGAGACTCACTGAAACTCGTAGAGACACGTGGAGACTCACTGAAACTCGTAGAGACTCACTGAGACTCGTAGAGACACACGTGGAGACTCACAGAGACTCGTAGAGACACACGTGGAGACTCACTGAAACTCGTAGAGACACGTGGAGACTCACTGAAACTCGTAGAGACACACTGAGACTCGTAGAGACACGTGGAGACTCACAGAGACTCGTAAAGACACACGTGGAGACTCACTGAAACTCGTAGAGACACGTGGAGACTCATTGAGACTCGTAGAGACACACGTGGAGATTCACTGAAACTCGTAGAGACACACGTGGAGATTCACTGAAACTCGTAGAGACACACGTGGAGACTCACAGAGACTCGTAGAGACACACGTGGAGACTCACTGAAACTCGTAGAGACACGTGGAGACTCACTGAAACTCGTAGAGACACGTGGAGACTCACTGAGACTCGTAGAGACACACGTGGAGACTCACAGAGACTCGTAGAGACACACGTGGAGACTCACTGAAACTCGTAGAGACACGTGGAGACTCACTGAAACTCGTAGAGACACACGTGGAGACTCACTGAAACTCGTAGAGACACACGGAGACTCACTGAGACTCGTAGAGACTCGTAGAGACTCGTAGAGACTCATAGACACGTGGAGAATCACAGAGACTCGTAGAGACACACGTGGAGACTCACTGAAACTCGTAGAGACACACGGAGACTCACTGAAACTCGTAGAGACCCACGGAGACTCACTGAGACTCGTAGAGACACACGGAGACTCACTGAGATTCATAGAGACTCACTGAGACTCGTAGAGACACACGGAGACTCACTGAAACTCGTAGACACACGGAGACTCACTAAAACTCGTAGAGACACACGTGGAGACTCACTGAAACTCGTAGAGACACACGGAGACTCACTGAGATTCGTAGAGACTCACTGAGACTCGTAGAGACACACGTGGAGACTCACTGAGACTCGTAGAGACACGTGGAGACTCACTGAAACTCGTAGAGACACGTGGAGACTCACTGAAACTCGTAGAGACACACGGAGACTCACTGAGATTCATAGAGACTCACTGAAACTCGTAGACACACGGAGACTCACTGAAACTCGTAGAGACACACGTGGAGACTCACTGAAACTCGTAGAGACACACGGAGACTCACTGAGATTCGTAGAGACTCACTGAGACTCGTAGAGACACACGTGGAGACTCACTGAGACTCGTAGAGACACGTGGAGACTCACTGAAACTCGTAGAGACACGTGGAGACTCACTGAAACTCGTAGAGACACACGTGGAGACTCACTGAGATTCATAGAGACTCACTGAGACTCGTAGAGACACGTGGAGACTCACAGAGACTCGTCGACACACGTGGAGACTCACTGAGACTCGTAGAGACACACGGAGACTCACTGAGACTCGTAGAGACTCGTAGAGACTCATAGGCACGTGGAGAATCACAGAGACTCGTAGAGACACACGTGGAGACTCACTGAAACTCGTAGAGACACACGGAGACTCACTGAAACTCGTAGAGACCCACGGAGACTCACTGAGACTCGTAGAGACACACGGAGACTCACTGAGATTCATAGAGACTCACTGAGACTCGTAGAGACACACGGAGACTCACTGAAACTCGTAGAGACACACGTGGAGACTCACTGAGACTCGTAGAGACACACGGAGACTCACTGAAACTCGTAGAGACACACGTGGAGACTCACTGAGACTCGTAGAGACTCGTAGAGACTCATAGACACGTGGAGAATCACAGAGACTCGTAGAGACACACGTGGAGACTCACTGAAACTCGTAGAGACACACGGAGACTCACTGAAACTCGTAGAGACCCACGGAGACTCACTGAGACTCGTAGAGACACACGTGGAGACTCACTGAGACTCGTAGAGACACGTGGAGACTCACTGAAACTCGTAGAGACACGTGGAGACTCACTGAAACTCGTAGAGACACACGGAGACTCACTGAGATTCATAGAGACTCACTGAGACTCGTAGAGACACGTGGAGACTCACAGAGACTCGTCGACCCACGTGGAGACTCACTGAGACTCGTAGAGACACGTGGAGACTCACTGAGACTCGTAGAGACACGTGGAGACTCACTGAGACTCGTAGAGACACGTGGAGACTCACTGAGACTCGTAGAAACACACGTGGAGACTCACAGAGACTCGTAGAGACTCACTGAGACTCGTAGAGACACGTGGAGACTCACAGAGACTCGTAGAGACACACGTGGAGACTCACAGAGACTCGTAGAAACACACGTGGGGACTCACTGAGACTCGTAGAGACACACGTGGGGACTCACTGAGACTCGTAGAGACACACGTGGAGACTCACAGCCTCAGCCGAACCAGCAACGCAAAGTGACCTTTAACCCCCCGTGCCCCCCCCGTGCCCCCCCCGTGCCCCCCCCGTGCCCCCCCCGTGCCCCCCCCGTGCCCCCCCCGTGCCCCCCCCCCGTGCCCCCCCCCCCCCAGAGCTAACGCTGTGCGCGAGGGAGAACACGACGCTCCACCTGCTGTCCCCTCCGTCTGCTGCCGGGGTCTTCTCCGTGCACGTCGAGGGGGTGGTGGGTGTGGAGGCCGGGCTGGCGCGCTCCGTGGTCACGCTCGATCCCGGCGAGTCGAGCACCCTGGAAGTGGCGCCCGAGTTCACCGGCAGTGGCCGCGTGTTCAGCACGCTCAACGCTCACCTGCTCGGTGGGTGGGGTGGGGTGGGTGGGGTGGGGTGGGTGGGGTGGGTGAGTGGGGTGGGTGGGGTGAGTGGGTGGGTGGGTGAGCGTTGAGGGTGAGTGAGCGGGTGGGGTGGGTGAGGTGGGTGAATGGGTGAGTGGGTGGGTGGGAGAGTGGGTGAGTGGGGTGGGTGGGTGGGGTGGGGTGGGTGGGGTGGGTGAGTGGGTGGGTGGGTGGGAGAGTGGGTGAGTGGGTCGGTGGGAGAGTGGGTGAGTGGGGTGGGTGGGTGGGGTGGGGTGGGTGGGGTGGGTGAGTGGGTGGGTGGGTGGGAGAGTGGGTGAGTGGGTGAGGTGGGAGAGTGGGTGGGCGGGGTGGGTGGGTGGGGTGGGGTGGGTGGGTGGGTGGGGTGGGTGAGTGGGTGGGTGGGTGGGAGAGTAGGTGAGGTGGGAGAGTGGGTGGGCGGGGTGGGTGGGTGGGTGGGGTGGGTGAGGTGGGAGAGTGGGTGGGTGGGTGCGGTGGGTGGGGTGGGTGAGGTGGGTGAGTGAGTGAGTGGGTGAGTGGGTGAGTGGGTGGGTGGGAGAGTGGGTGGGTGAGTGAGTGGGTGAGTGAGTGAGTGGGTGAGTGGGTGGGTGGGTGAGTGGGTGGGTGGGTGGGAGAGTGGGTGGGTGAGTGGGTGGGTGGGAGGGTGGGTGGGTGGGTGGGCGAGTGGATTTGTGTGTGAGTGGGTGGGTGAGTGAGTGAGTGGGTGGGTGAGTGAGTGAGTGTGTGAGTGAGTGTGTGAGTGGGTAGGTGGGTGAGTGGGTGGGTGGGTGAGTGGGTGGGTGGGTGGGTGAGTGAGTGAGTGTGTGAGTGGGTGTGTGAGTGGGTAGGTGAGTGGGTGCGTGGGTGGATGTATAGGTGAGTGGTAAATGAATTGCTGAATGGGTGGGTGGCTGGGTCGACGAGTGTGTCAGTGGAGCGTTGAGGGTGAGTGAGCGAGTGGGTCAGTGAGCGGGTGGTTCAGTGGGTGAGAGTGAGTAGCTGGGTGAGTGAGTGGGTGAGTGAGTGGGTGGGCGGATGGGTGTGTGAGTGGGCGGGTGAGTGGGTGAGTGCATGGATTGGTGAGTGAACAGGTAATTAAATTGATGAATGGGCTGGTGGGTGGATCCGCGAGTGTGAGAGTCGGTCGGTGGGTGAGCTGTTAGGGTGAGTGGGTGGGTGAGTGGACGGGTGAGTGGACGGGTGGGTGGGTCGGTGAGTGGGAGAATGGGCAGGTGGTTGAGCGGCTGGGTGAGCGAGCGTGCAGGTAGGTGGGTGAGTTGGTGAGTGGACGAGTAGGTGGGTTCTATGCCACTTTACAGATCTCTATGCAAGTCTACTGGTCTATGTGCCACTCTACAGGTGTCTGTGCCAGTCTATGAGTCTCTGTGCCAGTCTACGAGTCTCTGTGCCAGTCTATGAGTCTCTATGCCAGTCTAAGAGTCTCTATACCAGTCTACGAGTCTCTATACCAGTCTATGAGTCTCTATACCAGTCTATGAGTCTCTGTGCCAGTCTATGAGTCTCTGTGCCAGTCTATGAGTCTCTATGCCAGTCTATGAGTCTCTATACCAGTCTATGAGTCTCCATGCCAGTCTATGAGTCTCTATACCAGTCTATGAGTCTCTATGCCAGTCTACGAGTCTCTATACCAGTCTATGAGTCTCTATACCAGTCTACGAGTCTCTATACCAGTCTACGAGTCTCTATACCAGTCTATGAGTCTCTATACCAGTCTATGAGTCTCTATACCAGTCTACGGGTCTCTATACCAGTCTATGAGTCTCTATACCAGTCTATGAGTCTCTATACCAGTCTATGAGTCTCTATACCAGTCTATGAGTCTCTATACCAGTCTACGAGTCTCTATACCAGTCTATGAGTCTCTATGCCAGTCTACGAGTCTCTACACCAGTCTACGAGTCTCTATACCAGTCTACGTGTCTCTATACCAGTCTACGAGTCTCTATGCCAGTCTATGAGTCTCTGTGCCAGTCTATGAGATTCTATACCAGTCTACGAGTCTCTATGCCAGTCTATGAGTCTCTATACCAGTCTATGAGTCTCTATACCAGTCTATGAGTCTCTATACCAGTCTATGAGTCTCTATACCAGTCTATGAGTCTCTGTACCAGTCTATGAGTCTCTATACCAGTCTATGAGTCTCTATACCAGTCTACGAGTGTCTATACCAGTCTATGAGTCTCTATGCCAGTCTATGAATCTCTGTACCAGTCTATGAGTCTCTATACCAGTCTATGAATCTCTATACCAGTCTACGAGTCTCTATACCAGTCTATGAGTCTCTGTGCCAGTCTACGAGTCTCTGTGCCAGTCTATGAGTCTCTATGCCAGTCTATGAGTCTCTATGTCAGTCTATGAGTCTCTATACCAGTCTATGAGTCTCCATACCAGTCTATGAGTCTCTATGTCAGTCTATGAGTCTCTGTGCCAGTCTATGAGTCTCTATACCAGTCTATGAGTCTCTATACCAGTCTATGAGTCTCTATACCAGTCTATGAATCTCTATACCAGTCTACGAGTCTCTATACCAGTCTATGAGTCTCTGTGCCAGTCTACGAGTCTCTGTGCCAGTCTATGAGTCTCTATGCCAGTCTATGAGTCTCTATGTCAGTCTATGAGTCTCTATACCAGTCTATGAGTCTCCATACCAGTCTATGAGTCTCTGTGCCAGTCTATGAGTCTCTATACCAGTCTATGAGTCTCTATACCAGTCTATGAGTCTCTATACCAGTCTACGAGTCTCTATACCAGTCTATGAGTCTCCATACCAGTCTACGAGTCTCTATACCAGTCTATGAGTCTCTATGCCAGTCTATGAGTCTCTATGCCAGTCTATGAGTCTCTATGCCAGTCTACGAGTCTCTGTGCCAGTCTACGGGTCTCTATACCAGTCTACGAGTCTCTATGCCAGTCTATGAGTCTCTATACCAGTCTATGAGTCTCTGTGATAGTCTATGAGTCTCTATACCAGTCTACGAGTCTCCATACCAGTCTATGAGTCTCCATACCAGTCTACGAGTCTCTATACCAGTCTATGAGTCTCTATACCAGTTTATGAGTCTCTATGCCAGTCTATGAGTCTCTCTGCCAGTCTATGAGTCTCTGTGCCAGTCTATGAGTCTCTATGCCAGTCTACGAGTCTCTATGCCAGTCTACGAGTCTCCATACCAGTCTATGAGTCTCCATACCAGTCTACGAGTCTCTATACCAGTCTATGAGTCTCTATACCAGTTTATGAGTCTCTATACCAGTCTACGAGTCTCTATACCAGTCTATGAGTCTCTATACCAGTCTATGAGTCTCTATACCAGTCTATGATTCTCCATACCAGTCTATGAGTCTCTATACCAGTCTACGGGTCTCTGTGCCAGTCTATGAGTCTCTATACCAGTCTACGAGTCTCTATACCAGTCTATGAGTCTCTATACCAGTCTATGACTCTCTGTACCAGTCTACGAGTCTCTGTGCCAGTCTATGAGTCTCTATACCAGTCTATGAGTCTCTATACCAGTCTACGAGTCTCTAAACCAGTCTACGAGTCTCTAAACCAGTCTATAAGTCTCTATACCAGTCTACGAATCTCTATACCAGTCTACGAGTCTCTAAACCAGTCTATGAGTCTCTATACCAGTCTATGAGTCTCTAAACCAGTCTATGAGTCTCTATACCAGTCTATGAGTCTCTATACCAGTCTATGAGTCTCTGTGTCAGTCTATGAGTCTCTATACCAGTCTATGAGTCTCTAAACCAGTCTACGAGTCTCTATGTCAGTCTACGAGTCTCTAAACCAGTCTACGAGTCTCTAAACCAGTCTACGAGTCTCTATGCCAGTCTATGAGTCTCTATACCAGTCTATGAGTTTCTATACCAGTCTACGAGTCTCTATACCAGTCTACGAGTCTCTATACCAGTCTACAAGTCTCTAAACCAGTCTACGAGTCTCTAAACCAGTCTACGAGTCTCTATACCAGTCTACGAGTCTCCATGCCAGTCTATGAGTCTCTGTACCAGTCTATGCGTCTCTGTACCAGTCTATGAGTCTCTAAACCAGTCTACGAGTCTCTAAACCAGTCTATGAGTCTCTATACCAGTCTATGAGTCTCTATATCAGTCTACGAGTCTCTGTACCAGTCTATGAGTCTCTATACCAGTCTACGAGTCTCTATACCAGTCTACGAGTCTCTAAACCAGTCTATGAGTCTCTATACCAGTCTACGAGTCTCTATACCAGTCTATGAGTCTCTATACCAGTCTATGAGTCTCTAAACCAGTCTACGAGTCTCTAAACCAGTCTACGAGTCTCTATACCAGTCTACGAGTCTCTAAACCAGTCTACGAGTCTCTATACCAGTCTACGAGTCTCTATGCCAGTCTATGAGTCTCTAAACCAGTCTACGAGTCTCTATGCCAGTCTATGAGTCTCCATACCAGTCTACGAGTCTCTAAACCAGTCTACGAGTCTCTATACCAGTCTACGAGTCTCTATACCAGTCTACGAGTCTCTATGCCAGTCTATGAGTCTCTATACCAGTCTATGAGTCTCTAAACCAGTCTATGAGTCTCTAAACCAGTCTATGAATCTCTATACCAGTCTATGAGTCTCTAAACCAGTCTATGAATCTCTATACCAGTCTATGAGTCTCTAAACCAGTCTATGAATCTCTATACCAGTCTATGAGTCTCTATACCAGTCTACGAGTCTCTAAACCAGTCTACGAGTCTCTATACCAGTCTACGAGTCTCTATGCCAGTCTACGAGTCTCTGTACCAGTCTATGAGTCTCTATACCAGTCTACGGGGTCTCTATGCTCTCCACTGGTCTCTCTCTCTCTCTCTCTGTGTGTGTCTGCCGCCGTCTCAGCCGGCCTACAGGCGCCGTTTCAGGTGGTGCGTTGCCAGGGCTACACGCCGGGCCCCCAGCCTCGACGCAGCATCCTGAGCAAGGCACCGCACACTTGGAAGTTCTTCATCGCCGCCGTCGAGGTCCTGTGGGACTACGGCGCTAGCCTGCAGGACTCGGCACCAGCGTGAGCTCCGGCGCAGTCCTACAGTCACCGGCGTAGTCCTACAGTCACCGGAGTAGCCATACAGTCACCGGCGTAGTCCTACAGTCACCGGCGTAGTCTTACAGTCACCAGTGTAGTACTACAGTCACCGGCGTAGTCATACAGTCACCAGTGTAGGACTTTAGTCACCAGCGTAGTCTTACAGTCATCAGTGTAGTCATACAGTCACCGGCGTAGTCTTACAGTCATCAGTGTAGTCATACAGTCACCGGCGTAGTCTTACAGTCACCAGTGTAGGACTTTAGTCACCAGCGTAGTCTTACAGTCATCAGTGTAGTCATACAGTCACCGGCGTAGTCCTACAGTCACCGGCGTAGTCATGCAGTCACCGGCGTAGTACTACAGTCACCGGCGTAGTCATACAGTCACCGGCGTAGTCCTACAGTCACCGGAGTAGCCATACAGTCACCGGCGTAGTCATACAGTCACCGGCGTAGTCTTACAGTCATCAGTGTAGTCATACAGTCACCGGCGTAGTCCTACAGTCACCGGCGTAGTCCTACAGTCACCGGCGTAGTCCTACAGTCACCGGCGTAGTCATACAGTCACCGGTGTAGTACTACAGTCATCAGTGTAGTACTACAGTGTAGTCCTACAGTCATCGGCGTAGTCTTACAGTCACCGGCGTAGTCATACAGTCACCGGCGTAGTCCTACAGTCACCGGCGTAGTCTTACAGTCACCAGTGTAGTCCTACAGTCACCGGCGTAGTCCTACAGTCACCGGCGTAGTCCTACAGTCACCGGCGTAGTCATACAGTCACCAGCGTAGTCATACAGTCACCGGCGTAGTCATGCAGTCACCGGCGTAGTCCTACAGTCACCAGCGTAGTCTTACAGTCACCAGTGTAGTCCTACAGTCACCGGCGTAGTCATACAGTCACCGGCGTAGTCATACAGTCACCGGCGTAGTCATACAGTCACCAGTGTAGGACTTTAGTCACCAGCGTAGTCTTACAGTCATCAGTGTAGTCATACAGTCACCGGCGTAGTCTTACAGTCATCAGTGTAGGACTTTAGTCAACAGCGTAGTCTTACAGTCACCAGTGTAGTCTTACAGTCACTGGTGTAGTACTACAGTCATCAGTGTAGTACTACAGTGTAGTCCTACAATCATCAGTGTAGTCCTACAGTCATCAGTGTAGTCCTAGTCACCAGTGTAGGACTTTAGTCACCAGTGTAGTCCTACAGTGTAGTCCTACAGTCATTGGTGTAGTCTTAGAGTCACCAGTGTAGTCCTACAGTCACCGGCGTAGTCCTACAGTCATCAGTGTAGTCCTACAGTCACCAGTGTAGTCCTACAGTGTAGTCCTACAGTCATCGGCGTAGTCCTACAGTCACCAGCGTAGTCCTACAGTCATCGGCGTAGTCTTACAGTCATCAGTGTAGTCCTACAGTCACCGGCGTAGTCTTACAGTGTAGTCCTACAGTCATTGGTGTAGTCTTACAGTCATCAGTGTAGTCCTACAGTCATCGGCGTAGTCTTATAGTCATCAGTGTAGTCCTACAGTCACCAGTGTAGTCCTACAGTGTAGTTCTACAGTCACCGGCGTAGTCTTACAGTCATCAGTGTAGTCCTACAGTCACCAGTGTAGTCCTACAGTGTAGTCCTACAGTCCTACAGTCATCAGTGTTGTCATACAGTCACCAGTGTAGTCCCACAGTCACCAGTGTAGGACTTTAGTCACCAGTGTGGTTCCTACAGTCACCGGCGTAGTCCTACAGTCACCGGCGTAGCCCTACAGTCACCAGAGTAGTCCTACAATCACCAGTGTAGTCCTACAGTGACCGGTGTAGTCCTACAGTGTAGTCCTACAGTCACCAGTGTAGTCCTTTAGTCACCAGTGTAGTCCTACAGTCACCAGTGTAGTCCTACAGTGACCAGTGTAGTTCCTACAGTGTAGTCCTACAGTGACCAGTGTAGTCCTACAGTGACCAGTGTAGTCCTACAGTGACCAGTGTAGTCCTACAGTGACCAGTGTAGTACTACAGTGACCAGTGTAGTCCTACAGTCACCAGTGTAGTCCTACAGTCATCAGTGTAGTCCTACAGTCACCAGTGAAGTCCTACAGTGACCAGTGTAATCCTACAGTCACCAGTGTAGTATTACAGTGACCAGTGTAGTCCTACAGTGACCAGTGTAGTCCTACAGTGACCAGTGTAGTCATACAGTGACCAGTGTAGTCCTGCAGTGTAGTCCTACAGTGACCAGTGTAATCCTACAGTCACCAGTGTAGTCCTACAGTGTAGTCCTACAGTCACCAGTGTAGTATTACAGTGACCAGTGTAGTCCTACAGTGACCAGTGTAGTCCTACAGTGACCAGTGTAGTCATACAGTGACCAGTGTAGTCCTGCAGTGTAGTCCTACAGTGACCAGTGTAATACTACAGTGACCAGTGTAATACTACAGTGACCAGTGTAATACTACAGTGACCAGTGTAGTCCTACAGTCATCAGTATAGTCCTACAGTGACCAGTGTAGTCCTACAGTGACCAGTGTAATACTACAGTGACCAGTGTAATACTACAGTGACCAGTGTAGTCCTACAGTGACCAGTGTAGTCCTACAGTCACCAGTGTAGTACTACAGTCATCGGTGTAGTCCTACAGTCACCAGTGTAATACTACAGTGACCAGTGTAGTTCTACAGTGACCAGTGTAGTCCTACAGTCACCAGTGCAGTTCTACATTCATCGGTGTAGTCCTACAGTCATCAGTGTAGTCCTACAATTACCGGTGTAGTCCTACAGTCACCAGTGAAATCCTACAGTGACCAGTGTAGTCCTACAGTGACCAGTGTAGTCCTACAGTCACCAGTGAAATCCTACAGTGACCAGTGTAGTCCTACAGTGACCAGTGTAGTCCTACAGTCATCAGTGTAGTCCTACAGTCACCGCTATCATCACCATCATCATCATTACCATCATCTCCATCATCACCATCATCACAATCATTATCACAATCATCATCACCATCATCATCACCATCATCATCACCATCATCACCACCATCATCACCACCATCACCATCATCACCATCATCATCACCATCATCATCATCACCATCATCACCATTATCACCGTCATCACCACCATCATCACCACCATCATCATCACCATCATCATCACCATCATCACCACAATCATAACCATCATCATCACCACCACCTTCATCATCATCTCCATCATCACCATCATCACCATCATCATCTCCATCATCACCATCATCACCATCATCACCATCATCATCATCACAATCATAATCCCCATCATCATCACCATCATCATCACCATCATCATTACCATCATCATCTCCATCATCACCATCATCACCATCATCATCACCATCATCACCATCATCATCTCCATCATCACCATCATCATCACCATCATCATCACAATCATAATCCCCATCATCATCACCATCATCATTACCATCATCATCTCCATCATCACCATCATCACCATCATCATCACCATCATCATCACCATCATCACCGTCATCACCATCATCACCACCATCATTACCATCATCACCATCATCATCACCATCATCATCACCATCATCATCACAATCCTTATCACAATCATCATCACCATCATCATCACCACCATTACCATTATCACCATCATCATCACCATCATCATCACCATCATCATCATCACCATCACCATCATCACCATTATCACCATCATCACCGTCATCACCATCATCACCACCATCATCACCATCATCACCATCATCACCATCATAACCATCACCATCATCATCACCGTCATCATCACCGTCATCATCACCATCATCACCGTTATCACCATCATCACCACCATCATCATCATCATCATCACTATCACCACCATCACCATCATCACCATCATCACCACCATCACTGCCGTCACAATCATCGCTGCCGTCATAATCACCATCATCATCGTCATCACCACCATCACCACCATCATCACTATTACCATCATCACTATCATCATCACCATCACCACCATCATCATCATCACCGTCATCATCAACGTCATCACCATCATCACCATCATCACCATCATCACCATCACCATCATCACCATCATCACCATCATCACTATCACCACCATCACCACCATCATCATCACCATCACCACCATCACCACCATCATCACCACCACCATCATCACCACCACCACCACCACACCATCATCACCACCACCATCACCACCACCATCACCACCACCACCACCATCACCACCACCACCATCATCACCACCATCACGACCATCATCACCACCATCACCACCACCACTATCATCACCACCACCATCATCACCACCATCATTATCACCATCACCACCATCGTCATCACCACTATCACCACCACCATCACCACCATCGTCACCACCACCACCATCACCACCATCACCATCACCACTATCACCACTATCACCACCACCACCACCACCATCACCACCACCATCACCACCACCATCACCACCACCATCACCACCATCACCACCACCACCACCACCATCACCACCACCACCACCGTCACCACCATCACCACTACCACCACCACCACCACCATCACCACCACCACCACCGTCACCACCACCACCACCATCACCACCATCACCACCACCACCACCATCACCACCACCACCACCACCATCACCACCACCACCATCACCACCACCACCACCATCACCACCACCACCACCACCGTCACCACCACCATCACCACCATCACCACCACCACCACCACCATCACCACCACCACCACCGTCACCACCACCATCACCACCACCACCACCACCATCACCACCATCACCACCACCACCACCACCGTCACCACCACCATCACCACCACCACCACCACCGTCACCACCACCACCATCACCACCATCACCACCACCACCACCACCATCACCACCACCACCACCACCGTCACCACCACCACCACCGTCACCACCACCACCACCACCATCACCACTACCACCATCACCACCACCACCACCATCACCACCACCACCACCACCGTCACCACCACCATCACCACCACCACCACCAGCGTCACCACCACCATCACCACCATCACCACCACCACCGTCACCACCACCATCACCACCACCACCACCACCACCACCGTCACCACCACCACCATCACCACCACCACCATCACCACCACCACCACCGTCACCACCACCACCATTACCATCATCACCATCACCACCATCACCACCACCTTCATCATCATCTCCATCATCATCTCCATGATCACCATCATCACAATCATAATCACCATCATCACCATCATCATCACCATCATCATTACCATCATCATCTCCATCATCACCATCATCACCATCATCATCACCATCATCACCATCACCATCATCACCATCTTAACCATCATCACTATCACCACCATCACCACCATCACCATCACCACCATCACCACCACCATCATCACCACCATCGTCATCACCATCATCACCACCATCATCACCATCATCACCATCACCATCATCACCACCACCACCACCATCACCACCACCGTCACCACCATCACCACCATCCTCACCATCATCATCATCAACATTATCACCACCATCGTCACCACCACCACCATCATCACCACCATCACGACGATCTCCCGTGGCGGCAGGGAGCTGCGCTCGAGCTACCTGGAGAACCGGGAGGGGCGCGTGGGCCGCTGGTACAAGAAGTCCATCTTTGTGCGCTATGAGGACGACTCGTTCCTGGAGGAGGCCCAGGTGGAGAAGGACGACTACCTGGGCATCCTGGGGCCCGTCATCCGCGCCAACGTCAACGAGTTCGTCGAGGTGGGGCTGACAAGCGCCGTCGTCATCATCGTCATCATCGTCGTCATCATCATCGTCATCGTCGTCATCAGGAGCGTCGTCATCGTCGTTGTCATCATCGTCATCGTCGTCGTCATCAGTAGCGTCGTCACCATCATCGTCATCAGTAGCGTCATCATCATCGTCACCATCATCGTCATCAGTAGCGTCATCATCATCGTCATCATCATCATCATCGTCGTCATCAGCAGCGTCGTCATCATCGTCGTCATCATCGTCGTCATCATCGTCGTCATCATCGTCTTCATCGTCTTCATCGTCATCATCGTCATCATCGTCGTCATCAGTAGCGTCATCATCATCATCGTCGTCATCGTCGTTGTCATCATCGTCATCATCGTCATCATCGTCGTCATCAGTAGCGTCATCGTCATCGTCGTTGTCATCATCGTCATCATCGTCATCATCGTCGTCATCAGTAGCGTCGTCGTCGTCATCGTGATCAGTAGCGTCGTCACCATCATCGTCATCAGTAGCGTCGTCATCATCAGTAGCGTCATTATCATCGTCATCATCGTCATCATCGTCGTCATCAGCAGCGTCGTCGTCATCATTGTCGTCATCATCGTCGTCATCATCGTCTTCATCGTCTTCATCGTCATCATCATCGTCATCGTCGTTGTCATCATCGTCACCATCATCGTCATCAGTAGCGCCGTCGTCATTGTCGTCATCAGTAGCGCCGTCGTCATCGTCATCAGTAGCATCATCATCATCGTCATCAGTAGCGTCGTCGTCATCATCATCGTCATCAGTAGCGTCGTCATCATCATCGTCATCAGTAGCACCGTCGTCATCGTCATCAGTAGCATCATCATCATCGTCATCAGTAGCGTCGTCGTCATCATCATCGTCATCAGTAGCGTCGTCGTCATCATCATCGTCATCAGTAGCGTCGTCATCATCATCGTCATCAGTAGCGCCGTCGTCATCGTCATCAGTAGCATCATCATCATCGTCATCAGTAGCGTCGTCGTCATCATCATCGTCATCAGTAGCGTCGTCATCATCATCGTCATCAGTAGCGTCGTCATCATCGTCATCATCAGTAGCGTCGTCATCATCATCGTCATCAGTAGCGTCGTCATCATCATCGTCATCAGTAGCGTCGTCATCATCGTCATCATCAGTAGCGTCGTCATCATCGTCATCAGTAGCGGTGTCGTCATCATCGTCATCAGTAGCGTCGTCGTCATCATCGTCATCATTAGCGTCGTCGTCATCATCGTCATCAGTAGCGTCGTCATCATCGTCATCATCAGTAGCGTCGTCATCATCGTCATCAGTAGCGTCAGTGGTGGTAGTGATGTTAGTGGTGTTAGTAATGGTAGTGGTGTTAGTGGTGTTAGTGATGGTAGTGGTGTTAGTGATGGTAGTGATGGTAGTTATGTTAGTGGTGGTAATGATGGTAGTGATGTTAGTGGTGGTAGTGGTGTTAGTGGTGTTAGTGATGGTAGTGGTGTTAGTGGTGTTAGTGATGGTAGTGATGTTAGTGATGGTAATGATGGTAGTGATGTTAGTGGTGGTAGTGGTGTTAGTGGTGTTAGTGGTGTTAGTGATGGTAATGATGGTAGTGGTGTTAGTGGTGTTAGTGGTGTTAGTGGTGTTAGTGATGGTAGTGGTGTTAGTGATGTTAGTAGTGTTAGTGGTAGTGATGGTATTGGTGTTAGTGGTGGTAGTGGTGGTAGTGGTGGTAGTGATGGTAGTGGTGGTAGTAATGGTAGTGGTGGTAGTGATGGTAGTGGTGGTAGTGATGGTAGTGGTGGTAGTGGTGGTAGTGATGTTAGTGGTGTTAGTGGTGGTAGTGGTGTTTGTGGTGTTAGTGATGGTAGTGGTGTTAGTGATGGTAGTGGTGGTAGTGATGTTAGTGGTGTTAGTGGTGGTAGTGGTGTTTGTGATGGTAGTGGTGTTTGTGGTAGTGATGGTAGTGGTGGTGTTAGTGGTGTTAGTGGTGGTAGTGGTGTTGGTGGTATTAGTGGTAGTAGTGGTGGTAGTGGTGGTGTAAGTGGTGTTGTTGTTGGTGGTGGTGTTGTTGTTGGTGGTGTTCTTGGTGGTGGTGTTGTTGATGGTGTTGTTGGTGGTGTTAGGGCTGTTAGTGGTGGTGTTGTTGGTGTTGTTGTTTTTGTTGGTGGTGGTGGTGGTGTTGTTCGAGGTGTTGTTGTTGGTGGTGTTGTTGGTGGTGGTGTTGTTGTTGTTGGTGGTGTTGTTAGTGGTGGTGTTGTTGGTGGTGTTGTTGTTGGTGTTGTTGTTGGTGTTGTTGTTGGTGGTGGTGTTCTTGGTGGTGGTGTGGTTGTTGTTGTTGTTGGTGGTGGTGGTGTTGTTAGTGGTGGTGTTTGTGGTGGTGGTGTTGTTGTTGTTGGTGGTGGTGTTGGTGGTGGTGGTGTTGTTGTTGTTGGTGGTGGTGTTGTTGTTTGTGATGGTGTTGTTGGTGGTGGTGTTGTTGTTGCTGGTGATGTTGTTGGTGGTTATGTTAGGGGTGTTAGTGGTGGTGTTGTTGGTGGTGGTGTTGTTGGTGGTGGTGGTTGCTGATCGACATGATTCTGAACCCTGCCTGTCCCCAGATCGTCTTCCTCAACCTCGCCTCACGTCCGAACTGCATCTACCCCTTCGGTGTTCCCTTCCATAGCGAGTGGGGACCTTCAGACTGCTCCAACTCCAGTGAGACACTCACCCCTACTCACCACTACTCACCACCACTCACCACCACCACTCACCACCACTACCCCTTCGGTGTTCCCTTCCATAGCGAGTGGGGACCTTCAGACTGCTCCAACTCCAGTGAGACACTCACCCCTACTCACCACTACTCACCACCACTCACCACCACCACTCACCACCACTACCCCTTCGGTGTTCCCTTCCATAGCGAGTGGGGACCTTCAGACTGCTCCAACTCCAGTGAGACACTCACCCCTACTCACCACTACTCACCACCACTCACCACCACCACTCACCACCACTACCCCTTCGGTGTTCCCTTCCATAGCGAGTGGGGACCTTCAGACTGCTCCAACTCCAGTGAGACACTCACCACCACTCACCACCACTCACCACCACTCACCACCACTCACCACTACTCACCACCACCACTCACCACCACCACTACCCCTTCGGTGTTCCCTTCCATAGCGAGTGGGGACCTTCAGACTGCTCCAACTCCAGTGAGACACTCACCCCTACTCACCACCACTCACCACCACTCACCACCACTCACCACCACCACTCACCACCACCACTACCCCTTCGGTGTTCCCTTCCATAGCGAGTGGGGACCTTCAGACTGCTCCAACTCCAGTGAGACACTCACCACCACTCACCACCACTCACCACCACTCACCACCACTCACCACCACCACTCACCACCACCACTACCCCTTCGGTGTTCCCTTCCATAGCGAGTGGGGACCTTCAGACTGCTCCAACTCCAGTGAGACACTCACCACCACTCACCACCACTCACCACCACTCACCACTACTCACCACCACCACTCACCACCACCACTACCCCTTCGGTGTTCCCTTCCATAGCGAGTGGGGACCTTCAGACTGCTCCAACTCCAGTGAGACACTCACCACCACTCACCACCACTCACCACCACTCACCACTACTCACCACCACCACTCACCACCACCACTACCCCTTCGGTGTTCCCTTCCATAGCGAGTGGGGACCTTCAGACTGCTCCAACTCCAGTGAGACACTCACCACCACTCACCACCACTCACCACCACTCACCACCACTCACCACCACCACTCACCACCACTACCCCTTCGGTGTTCCCTTCCATAGCGAGTGGGGACCTTCAGACTGCTCCAACTCCAGTGAGACACTCACCCCTACTCACCACCACTCACCACCACTCACCACTACTCACCACCACCACCACCACTCACCACCACTACCCCTTCGGTGTTCCCTTCCATAGCGAGTGGGGACCTTCAGACTGCTCCAACTCCAGTGAGACACTCACCACCACTCACCACCACTCACCACTACTCACCACCACTCACCACCACTCACCACCACTCACCACCACCACTCACCACCACTACCCCTTCGGTGTTCCCTTCCATAGCGAGTGGGGACCTTCAGACTGCTCCAACTCCAGTGAGACACTCACCACTACTCACCACCACTCACCACCACTCACCACTACTCACCACCACTACTCACCACCACCACTCACCACTACTCACCACCACCACTCACCACCACTACCCCTTCGGTGTTCCCTTCCATAGCGAGTGGGGACCTTCAGACTGCTCCAACTCCAGTGAGACACTCACCACCACTCACCACCACTCACCACCACTCACCACCACTCACCACTACTCACCACCACCACTCACCACCACCACTACCCCTTCGGTGTTCCCTTCCATAGCGAGTGGGGACCTTCAGACTGCTCCAACTCCAGTGAGACACTCACCACTACTCACCACCACTTACCACCACTCACCACTACTCACCACCACTTACCACTACTCACCACTACTCACCACCACCACCACCACTCACCACTACCACTCACCACCACTCACCACCACTCACCACCACCACTCACCACAACTCACCACCACTCACCACTACTCACCACCACCACTCACCACCACTCACCACCACTCACCACCACCACTCACCACCAGTCACCACCACCACTCACCACCAGTCACCACCACCACTCACCACCACTCACCACCACCACTCACCACCACCACTCACCACCACTCACCACTACTCACCACCACTACTCACCACTACTCACCACTACCACTCACCACTACTCACCACCACCACTCACCACCACCACTCACCACCACTCACCACAACTCACCACTACTCACCACCACTCACCACCACCACTCACCACCACCACCACTCACCACCACTCACCACCACCACTCACCACCACCACTCACCACCACTCACCACTACTCACCACCACTACTCACCACTACTCACCACCACCACTCACCACCACTCACCACCACCGCTCACCACCACTCACCACCACCACTCACCACCACTCACCACCACCATTCACCACCACCACTCACCACCACCACTCACCACTAGTCACCACCACCACCACCACTCACCACCACTCACCACCACCACTCACCACCACTCACCACCACTACTCACCACCACTCACCACTACTCACCACTACCACTCACCACCACTCACCACCACTCACCACCACCACTCACCACCACTCACCACCACCACTCACCACCACTCACCACCACCACCACTCACCACCTCTCACCACCACTCACCACCACCACTCACCACCACTCACCACCACCACCACTCACCACCTCTCACCACCACTCACCACCACCACTCACCACTCACCACTACTCACCACCACTCACCACAACCACTCACCACCACTCACCACCACCACTCACCACTCACCACTACTCACCACCACTCACCACAACCACTCACCACTACTCACCACCACTCACCACCACCACTCACCACTCACCACTACTCACCACTACTCACCACCACTCACCACCACTCACCACCACTCACCACCACTCACCACTCACCACCACTCACCACCACCACTCACCACCACTCACCACCACCACTCACCACCACTCACCACCACCACTCACCACCACCACCACTCACCACCACCACCACAACTCACCACCACCACCACTCACCACCACCACCACTCACCACTCACCACCACTCACCACCACCACTCACCACCACCACTCACCACCACTCACCACCACTCACCACCACCACTCACCACCACTCACCACCACTCACCACCACCACTCACCACCACTCACCACTAGTCACCACCACCACTCACCACCACTCACCATCACTCACCACCACCACTACCTCACTCACCACCACACACCACCACCACTCACCACCACCACTCACCACTAGTCACCACCACTCACCACCACCACCACTCACCACCACTCACCACCACCACTAGTCACCACCACTCACTACCACCACTCACTACCACCACTCACCACCACCACTCACCACCACCACTCACCACCACCACTCACCACCACTCACCACTACTCTCCACCACCCATCACCACCACTCACCACCACTCACCACCACTCACCACCACCACTCACCACCACCACTCACTACCACCACTCACTACCACCACTCACCACCACCACTCACCACCACCACTCACCACCACTCACCACCACCACTCACCACTACTCTCCACCACCCATCACCACTCACCACCACTCACCACCACTCACCACCACCACCACCACTCACCACCACCACTCACCACCACTCACCACCACTCACCACCACCACTCACCACCACCACTCACCACTCACCACCACCACTCACCACCACCACTCACCACCGTGGTGACAGTTGCTGCTATTAGGTAGTTTGGTTGGTTTGTGAGAACCCTTCAGCACCCGACTGAGTGGGTGAGTGAGTAGGTGAGTGAGTGGGTGAGTAGGTGAGTGAGTGAGTGGATGAGTGAGTAGGTGAGTGAGTGGGTGAGTAGGTGAGTGGGTGAGTGAGTGAGTGGGTGAGTGAGTAGGTGAGTGGGTGAGTGAGTTAGAAGGTGGGTGAGTGAGTGGGTGAGTGAGTAAGTGAGTAAGTGAGTAGGTGAGTGAGTTAGAAGGTGGCTGAGTGAGTGAGTAACTGGGTGAGTGAGTAATTGAGTGGGTGAGTGGGTGCGTGAGTAAGTGAGTGGGTGAGTGAATGAGTAAGTAAGTGGGTGAGCGAGTGAGTGAGTGAGTGGGTGAGTGGGTGAGTGGGTGAGTGGGTGAGTGAGTGATTGAGTGGATGAGTGGGTGAGTGGGTGAGTGAGTAAGTGAGTGGGTGAGTGCGTGAGTGAGTAAGTGAGTGGGTGAGTGAGTAAGTAAGTGGGTGAGCAAGTGAGTGAGTGAGTGGGTGAGTGAATGAATGAGTGGGTGAGTGGATGGGTAAGTAAGTAGGTGAGTGAGTGACTAAGTTAATGAGTGGGTGAGTTAGTGGGTACCTAAGTGGGTGAATGAGTGGATAAGTGGGTGAGCGAGTGGGTAAGTGGGTGAGTGAGTGACTAAGTGGGTAAGTGAGTGGGTGGGTGAGTGGATAAGTGGGCAAGTGAGTGGGTAAGTGGGTGAGTGAGTGGGTGAGTGGGTTAATGAGCAAGTGGGCGAGCGAGTGAGAGAGCTAGCAAATTAACGATTGAGTGAGCGAGTCAGTGAGCGAGCTAGCAAATGAAGGAGTAAATCAGTGAGTTAGTGAATGAGCAAGTGAGCGGGCAATCTAACGAATTAACGAGTGAGTGAGCGAGTGAGCGAGCTAGCGAATGAGCGAGTGAGTGAGCGAATGAGCGAGTGAGCGAGTGAGTGAGTGAGCGAGTGAGTGAGCAAGTTAGCGAATGAACAAGTGAGTGAGTGAGCGAGCTAGCGAATGAGCGAGTGAGTGAGCGAGTGAGTGAATGAGCAATCTAACGAATTAACGAGTGAGTGAGCGAGTGAGCGAGCTAGCGAATGAGCGAGTGAGTGAGTGAGCGAATGAGCGAGTGAGCGAGTGAGTGAGTGAGCGAGTGAGTGAGCAAGTTAGCGAATGAACAAGTGAGTGAGTGAGCGAGCTAGCGAATGAGCGAGTGAGTGAGCGAGTGAGTGAATGAGCAATCTAACGAATTAACGAGTGAGTGAGTGAGCGAGTGAGCGAATGAGCAATCTAACGAATTAACGAGTGAGTGAGTGAGTGAGCGAGTGAGTGAGTGAGTGAGCGAGTGAGCGAGCTAGCGAATGAGCGAGTGAGCAAGTTAGCGAATGAAAGAGTGAGCAAGTGAATGAGTTTGCGATCTAGCGAATGAACGAGTGAGCGAGCTAGCAAATGAAAGAGTTAGTGAGCGAGCTAGCTAATGAATGAGTGAGCAATCTAGCGAATGAACGAGTGAGCGAGTGAGCTAGCGAATGAAAGAGTGAGTAAGTTAGCGAATGAATGAGTGAGTGAGCGAGTCAATGAGCGAGCTAGCAAATGAGCGAGTGAGCGAGCGAGCTAGCGAATGAAAGAGTGAGTTTGCGATCTAGCGAATGAACGAGTGAGCGAGCGAATGAAAGAATTAGTGAGCGAGCTAGCTAATGAATGAATGAGTGAGCAATCTATCGAATGGACGAGTGAGTGATTGAGTGAGTGAGCTATCGAATGAGAGAGTGAGTGAGCTAGCGAATGAATGAGTGAGTGAGCGAGTCAATGAGCGAGCTAGCGAATGAGCCAGTGAGTGAGCTAGCGAATGAAGAATAACCGAGTGAATTAGCGATCTAGCGAATGAGCGAATGAAAAAGTGAGTGAGCAAGTGAGCAAGCTAGCGAATGAGCGAGTTAGGTAGCGAATGAATGAGTGAGTGAGCGAATCAGTGAGCGAGCTAGCGAATGAAGGAGTAAGTCAGTGAGTTAGTGAATGAGCAAGTGAGCGAGCAATCTAACGAATTAACGGGTGAGGGAGTGAGTGAGCGAGTGAGTTTGCGATCTAGCGAATGAACGAGTGAGCGAGCTAGCGACTGAAAGAGTGAGTGAGCTAGCGAATGAATGAGTGAGTTTGCGATCTAGCGAATGAATGAGTGAGCGAGCTAGCGAATGAAAGAATTAGTGAGCGAGCTAGCTAATGAATGAATGAGTGAGCAATCTAGCGAATGGACGAGTGAGTGATTGAGTGAGTGAGCTATCGAATGAGAGAGTGAGTGAGCTAGCGAATGAATGAGAGAGTGAGCTAGCGAATGAGTGAGTGAGCTAGCGAATGAATGCGTGAGTGAGCGAGTGATTTTACAATCTAGCGAGTGAGCGAGCGAGTGAGCGAGCGAGCTAGCGAATGAAAGAGTAAGTGAACGAGCTAGCGAATGAACAAATGAGTGAGCAATGTAGCGAATGAACGAGTGCGTGAGCGAGTGAGTTAATGACCGAGTGAGTGAGTTAGCGAGCTAGCGAATGAGCGAGTGAGTGAGCGATCTAGCGAATGAACGAGCGAGCGAGTAAGTGAGCGAGCAAGTTGGCCAATGAACGAGGGAGCGAGCAAGTGAGTGAGCGATCTAGCGAATGAGCGAGTGAGCGAGCGAGTGAGTGAGCGAGCGAGTGAGCGAGCGATCTAGCGAATGGGCGAGTGAGCGAGCGAGTGAGTGAGCGATCTAGCGAATGAGCGAGTGAGCGAGTGAGTGAGCGATCTAGCGAATGAGCGAGTGAGCGAGCGAGTGAGTGAGTGATCTAGCGAATGAGCGAGTGAGCGAGCGAGTGAGTGAGCGATCTAGCGAGTGAGCGAGTGAGCGAGCGAGTGAGTGAGAGATCTAGCGAGTGAGTGAGCGAGCGAGCGAGCGATCTAGCGAATGAGCGAGTGAGCGAGCGAGTGAGTGAGCGATCTAGCGAGTGAGCGAGCGAGTGAGTGAGCGAGCGAGTGAGTGAGCGATCTAGCGAGTGAGCGAGCGATCTAGCGAATGAACGAGCGAGCGAGCTGGCGAATTAACGAGTGAGCGAGCGATCTAGCGAATGAAAGAGCGAGCAGAGCAGAGCAGAGCGAGCGACAGCCCGTGCCGAGCATAACAAAAAACACCCCCGACACACACAGAGAGCGTGACCTTTAACCTGCCCCCCCCCCCCACCACACCCCCACCTCCCCCCCCACCTCCTCCCCCGCCCAGGTGAGCACGTGCCCCCCGGCGCGAGCCGCACGTACCGCTGGAAGGTGTCGGACAGCGCGGGGCCCCGCGAGGGCGACCTCCGCTGCCTCACGGGCGCCTACGTTGGCGCGGTGGACATGGCACGAGACGTCGCCTCGGGGCTGCTGGGGCCGCTCGTCATCTGCAAGCCCGATTCACTCAGCCCCATGGGACGCCAGGTGACGGGTGATGGTGGGGCGGAGTGGCTGGGGGAGGCGGAGGAGGAGTTGGGCTAGGGGGAGGCCCAACAACATCACCCCACAAAACCCTCCACCCCTACCCAACTCCACCCACCACAATTCCACCCACCACCACCACCACAATTCCACCCACCCCACCAACACCCCAACCACCCCTACGCACCCCCACCATCGCCCCCCCCCCCCCCCCCCTGCCACCCTGCGTTGGCTGGGTCACGTAGCCCACTTGCCCAGCCACCACGTGCCCACCCAGCCTCCTCATGCCCAGCCACCACGTGCCCAGCCACCGCTTGCTCAGCCACCGCTTGCTCAGCCACTACGTACCCAGCCACCGCTTGCCCAGCCACCACGTGCCCAGCCACCACGTGCCCCCAAGCAGCTTCTGTTTGGCCGCATAGAGGGAGCTAAACGGGCACCACACGAGCTGGAGAAGAGATGGAGGTACAGCTGGTGGTGCATCTAGCGGTCATCTCAGTCGGTCAACCCGTGGCACCTGCTGGGTCTGTCACGTGACCTCCTCCTGCACCTAGCCTGGCACAGTAGGGAGGGGTACAGCTGGTGGTGCATCTAGCGGTCATCTCAGTCGGTCGACCCGTGGCACCTGCTGGGTCTGTCACGTGACCTCCTCCTGCACCTAGCCTGGCACAGTAGGGGGTACAGCTGGTGGTGCATCTACCGATCATCTCAGTCGACCAACCCGTGCCACCTGCTGGGTCTGTCACGTGACCTCCCCCTGCACCTAGCCTGGCACAGTAGGGGGTACAGCTGGTGGTGCATCTAGCGGTCATCTCAGTCGGTCGACCCGTGGCACCTGCTGGGTCTGTCACGTGACTTGCTCCTGCACCTAGCCTGGCACAGTAGGAGGTACAGCTGGTGGTGCATCTAGCGGTCATCTCAGTCGGTCGACCCGTGGCACCTGCTGGGTCTGTCACGTGACCTCCCCCTGCACCTAGCCTGGCACAGTAGGGGGGTCTGTCCCGTGACCTCCTCCTGCCAGCGGCGAGCCTTGGACACTTCACGTGGCAGCCTCAAAGTGGTGCACCTAGCCTGGCACGGGCGCCGCGGTGACGTCACCGCCACTTAGTGGCGAATCTGCGGGTGTTGTTGAAATCACGGTTGTGGTTGTTGTTGTTGTGGTTGTTGTTGTTGTTGTGGTGGTGGTGGTGGTGACCGCGCGTCAGCAGAAACGCGTGGATGAGGAGTTGTTCACGCTCCACACGGTCTACGACGAGAACCTGAGCTGGTACGCCGAGGAGAACGAACGGAACTACACTCAGCGTGCTGCTGGTGGCCCCGGTGCTGGTGGCCCAGGTGCTGGTGGCCCAGGTGGTGGTGGTGGTGGTGGTGGTCCAGGTGGTGGTGGTGGTGGTGGCGGTGGCCCAGGTGGTGGTCGAGCCGACGATGCTGGATTCTACAAGTCTAACCTCATGGCCAGTGAGTGTCTCACGCTGTGTGTCTCACGCTGTCTCACGCTGTGTGTCTCATGCTGTGTGTCTCACGCTGTGTGTCTGTGTGTCTCACACTGTGTGTCTCACGCTGTGTGTCTGTGTGTCTCACACTGTGTGTCTCACGCTGTGTGTCTGTGTGTCTCACACTGTGTCTCTCACACTGTGTGTCTGTGTGTCTCACGCTGTGTGTCTCACGCTGTGTGTCTCACGCTTTGTGTCTCATTCTGTGTGTCTCACGCTGTGTGTCTCACGCTGTGTGTCTGTGTGTCTCACGCTGTGTGTCTCACACTGTGTCTCACACTGTGTGTCTCACGCTGTGTGTCTCACGCTGTGTGTCTGTGTGTCTCACGCTGTGTGTCTCACGCTGTGTGTCTGTGTGTCTCACGCTGTGTGTCTCACACTGTGTGTCTCACGCTGTGTGTCTGTGTGTCTCACGCTGTGTGTCTCACACTGTGTGTCTCACGCTGTGTGTCTCACGCTGTGTGTCTCACGCTGTGTGTCTGTGTGTCTCACGCTGTGTGTCTCACGCTGTGTGTCTGTGTGTCTCACGCTGTGTGTCTGTGTGTCTCACGCTGTGTGTCTGTGTGTCTCACGCTGTGTCTCACGCTGTGTGTCTGTGTGTCTCACGCTGTGTGTCTGTGTGTCTCACGCTGTGTGTCTCACGCTGTGTGTCTGTGTGTCTCACGCTGTGTGTCTGTGTGTCTCACGCTGTGTGTCTCATCATGTCTCACGCTGTGTGTCTGTGTGTGTCACACTGTGTGTCTCACGCTGTGTGTCTCATGCTGTGTGTCTCACGCTGTGTCTCACGCTGTGTGTCTCATGCTGTGTGTCTTACGCTGTGTCTCACGCTGTGTGTCTCACGCTGTGTGTCTCACGCTGTGTGTCTGTGTGTCTCACGCTGTGTGTCTCACGCTGTGTGTCTGTGTGTCTCACGCTGTGTGTCTGTGTGTCTCACACTGTGTCTCACGCTGTGTGTCTCACGCTGTGTGTCTGTGTGTCTCACGCTGTGTGTCTCACGCTGTGTGTCTCACGCTGTGTCTCACGCTGTGTGTCTGTGTGTCTCACGCTGCGTGTCTGTGTGTCTCACGCTGTGTGTCTCATCATGTCTCACGCTGTGTGCCTGTGTGTCTGTGTGTCTCACACTGTGTGTCTGTGTGTCTCACACTGTGTGTCTGTGTGTCTCACACTGTGTGTCTCACGCTGTGTGTCTGTGTGTCTCACGCTGTGTGTCTCACACTGTGTGTCTCACGCTGTGTGTCTGTGTGTCTCACACTGTGTGTCTCACGCTGTGTGTCTGTGTGTCTCACACTGTGTGTCTCACGCTGTGTCTGTGTGTCTCACGCTGTGTGTCTGTGTGTCCCACGCTGTGTGTCTCACGCTGTGTGTCTGTGTGTCTCACGCTGTGTGTCTCACGCTGTGTGTCTGTGTGTCTCACGCTGTGTGTCTGTGTGTCTCACGCTGTGTGTCTCATCATGTCTCAGGCTGTGTGTCTGTGTGTCTCACACTGTGTGTCTCACGCTGTGTCTCACGCTGTGTGTCTGTGTGTCTCACACTGTGTGTCTCACGCTGTCTCACGCTGTGTGTCTCACGCTGTGTGTCTCACACTGTGTGTCTGTGTGTCTCACACTGTGTCTCACACTGTGTGTCTCACGCTGTCTCACGCTGTGTGTCTCACGCTGTGTGTCTCACGCTGTGTGTCTGTGTGTCTCACGCTGTGTGTCTGTGTGTCTCACGCTGTGTCTCACACTGTGTATCTCACGCTGTGTGTCTGTGTGTCTCACACTGTGTCTCATGCCGCGTGTCTCACACTGTGTCTCACGCTGTGTGTCTGTGTGTCTCACGCTGTGTGTCTCACGCTGTGTGTCTCACGCTGTGTCTGTGTGTCTCACGCTGTGTCTCATGCTGTCTCACGCTGTGTGTCTCACGCTGTGTGTCTCACGCTGTCTCACGCTGTCTCACGCTGTGCGTCTCACGCCGTGTCTCATGCCGCGTGTCTCACGCTGTGTGTCTGTGTGTCTCACACTGTGTCTCACACTGTGTGTCTCACGCTGTGTGTCTCACGCTGTGTGTTTGTGTGTCTCACACTGTGTGTCTCACGCTGTGTGTCTCACGCTGTGTCTCACACTGTGTGTCTCACGCTGTGTGTCTGTGTGTCTCACGATGTCTCACGCTGTGCGTCTCACGCTGTGTGTCTGTGTGTCTCACGCTGTGTGTCTGTGTGTCTCACGCTGTGTGTCTGTGTGTCTCACGCTGTGTGTCTTACGCTGTGTGTCTCACACTGTGTGTCTCACGCTGTGTGTCTGTGTGTCTCACGCTGTGTGTCTGTGTGTCTCACGCTGTGTGTCTCACGCTGTGTGTCTGTGTGTCTCACGCTGTGTGTCTGTGTGTCTCACGCTGTGTGTATCACGCTGTGTGTCTCACGCTGTGTCTGTGTGTCTCACGCTGTGTCTCACGCTGTGTGTCTGTGTGTCTCACGCTGTGTGTCTCACGCTGTGTGTCTGTGTGTCTCACGCTGTGTGTCTGTGTGTCACACACTGTGTGTCTCACGCTGTGTGTCTCACGCTGTGTGTCTGTGTGTCTCACGCTGTGTGTCTGTGTGTCTCACGCTGTGTGTCTCACGCTGTGTGTCTCACGCTGTGTGTCTCACGCTGTGTGTCTCACACTGTGTGTCTCACACTGTGTGTCTCACGCTGTGTGTCTCACGCTGTCTCACGCTGTGTGTCTCACGCTGTGTGTCTGTGTGTCTCACGCTGTGTGTCTCACGCTGTGTGTCTGTGTGTCTCACGCTGTGTGTCTGTGTGTCTCACGCTGTGTGTCTGTGTGTCTCACGCTGTGTCTCACGCTGTGTGTCTGTGTGTCTCACGCTGTGTGTCTGTGTGTCTCACGCTGTGTGTCTCACGCTGTGTGTCTGTGTGTCTCACGCTGTGTGTCTGTGTGTCTCACGCTGTGTGTCTCATCATGTCTCACGCTGTGTGTCTGTGTGTGTCACACTGTGTGTCTCACGCTGTGTGTCTCATGCTGTGTGTCTCACGCTGTGTCTCACGCTGTGTGTCTCATGCTGTGTGTCTTACGCTGTGTCTCACGCTGTGTGTCTCACGCTGTGTGTCTCACGCTGTGTGTCTGTGTGTCTCACGCTGTGTGTCTCACGCTGTGTGTCTGTGTGTCTCACGCTGTGTGTCTGTGTGTCTCACACTGTGTCTCACGCTGTGTGTCTCACGCTGTGTGTCTGTGTGTCTCACGCTGTGTGTCTCACGCTGTGTGTCTCACGCTGTGTCTCACGCTGTGTGTCTGTGTGTCTCACGCTGCGTGTCTGTGTGTCTCACGCTGTGTGTCTCATCATGTCTCACGCTGTGTGCCTGTGTGTCTGTGTGTCTCACACTGTGTGTCTGTGTGTCTCACACTGTGTGTCTGTGTGTCTCACACTGTGTGTCTCACGCTGTGTGTCTGTGTGTCTCACGCTGTGTGTCTCACACTGTGTGTCTCACGCTGTGTGTCTGTGTGTCTCACACTGTGTGTCTCACGCTGTGTGTCTGTGTGTCTCACACTGTGTGTCTCACGCTGTGTCTGTGTGTCTCACGCTGTGTGTCTGTGTGTCCCACGCTGTGTGTCTCACGCTGTGTGTCTGTGTGTCTCACGCTGTGTGTCTCACGCTGTGTGTCTGTGTGTCTCACGCTGTGTGTCTGTGTGTCTCACGCTGTGTGTCTCATCATGTCTCAGGCTGTGTGTCTGTGTGTCCTCACACTGTGTGTCTCACGCTGTGTCTCACGCTGTGTGTCTGTGTGTCTCACACTGTGTGTCTCACGCTGTCTCACGCTGTGTGTCTCACGCTGTGTGTCTCACACTGTGTGTCTGTGTGTCTCACACTGTGTCTCACACTGTGTGTCTCACGCTGTCTCACGCTGTGTGTCTCACGCTGTGTGTCTCACGCTGTGTGTCTGTGTGTCTCACGCTGTGTGTCTGTGTGTCTCACGCTGTGTCTCACACTGTGTATCTCACGCTGTGTGTCTGTGTGTCTCACACTGTGTCTCATGCCGCGTGTCTCACACTGTGTCTCACGCTGTGTGTCTGTGTGTCTCACGCTGTGTGTCTCACGCTGTGTGTCTCACGCTGTGTCTGTGTGTCTCACGCTGTGTCTCATGCTGTCTCACGCTGTGTGTCTCACGCTGTGTGTCTCACGCTGTCTCACGCTGTCTCACGCTGTGCGTCTCACGCCGTGTCTCATGCCGCGTGTCTCACGCTGTGTGTCTGTGTGTCTCACACTGTGTCTCACACTGTGTGTCTCACGCTGTGTGTCTCACGCTGTGTGTCTGTGTGTCTCACACTGTGTGTCTCACGCTGTGTGTCTCACGCTGTGTCTCACACTGTGTGTCTCACGCTGTGTGTCTGTGTGTCTCACGATGTCTCACGCTGTGCGTCTCACGCTGTGTGTCTGTGTGTCTCACGCTGTGTGTCTGTGTGTCTCACGCTGTGTGTCTGTGTGTCTCACGCTGTGTGTCTTACGCTGTGTGTCTCACACTGTGTGTCTCACGCTGTGTGTCTGTGTGTCTCACGCTGTGTGTCTCACGCTGTGTGTCTCACGCTGTGTGTCTGTGTGTCTCACGCTGTGTGTCTGTGTGTCTCACGCTGTGTGTCTCACGCTGTGTGTCTCACGCTGTGTGTCTGTGTGTCTCACGCTGTGTGTCTGTGTGTCTCACGCTGTGTGTCTCACGCTGTGTGTCTCACGCTGTGTCTGTGTGTCTCACGCTGTGTGTCTCACGCTGTGTGTCTGTGTGTCTCACGCTGTGTGTCTCACGCTGTGTGTCTGTGTGTCTCACGCTGTGTGTCTGTGTGTCACACACTGTGTGTCTCACGCTGTGTGTCTCACGCTGTGTGTCTGTGTGTCTCACGCTGTGTGTCTGTGTGTCTCACGCTGTGTGTCTCACGCTGTGTGTCTCACGCTGTGTGTCTCACGCTGTGTGTCTCACACTGTGTGTCTGTGTGTCTCACACTGTGTGTCTGTGTGTCTCACGCTGTGTGTCTCACGCTGCGTGTCTCACGCTGTGTGTCTCACACTGTGTGTCTGTGTGTCTCTCACTGTGTGTCTCACGCTGTGTGTCTGTGTGTCTCACGCTGTGTGTCTGTGTGTCTCACGCTGTGTGTCTCACGCTGTGTGTCTCACGCTGTGTCTCACACTGTGTGTCTGTGTGTCTCACGCTGTGTGTCTGTGTGTCTCACGCTGTGTGTCTCACGCTGTGTGTCTGTGTGTCTCACGCTGTGTGTCTGTGTCTCACGCTGTGTGTCTCACGCTGTGTGTCTGTGTGTCTCACGCTGTGTGTCTCATCATGTCTCACGCTGTGTGTCTGTGTGTCTCACGCTGTGTGTCTGTGTGTCTCACGCTGTGTGTCTGTGTGTCTCACGCTGTGTGTCTCACGCTGTGTGTCTCTCGCTGTGTGTCTCACGCTGTGTGTCTGTGTGTCTCACGCTGTGTGTCTCACGCTGTGTGTCTGTGTGTCTCACGCTGTGTGTCTCACGCTGTGTGTCTCACGCTGTGTCTCACGCTGTGTGTCTCACGCTGTGTGTCTCACGCTGTGTGTCTGTGTGTCTCACGCTGTGTGTCTGTGTGTCTCATTCTGTGTGTCTCACGCTGTGTGTCTCACGCTGTGTGTCTGTGTGTCTCACGCTGTGTGTCTCACGCTGTGTGTCTCATGCCGTGTGTCTGTGTGTCTCACGCTGTGTGTCTGTGTGTCTCACGCTGTGTGTCTGTGTGTCTCACGATGTCTCACGCTGTGCGTCTCATGCTGTGTGTCTGTGTGTCTCACGCTGTGTGTCTGTGTGTCTCACGCTGTGTGTCTGTGTGTCTCACGCTGTGTGTCTCACGCTGTGTGTCTGTGTGTCTCACACTGTGTCTCACGCTGTGTCTCACACTGTGTGTCTCACGCTGTGTGTCTCACGCTGTCTCACACTGTGTGTCTGTGTGTCTGTGTCTCACGCTGTGTGTCTCACGCTGTGTGTCTCACTCTGTGTGTCTGTGTGTCTCACGCTGTGTGTCTGTGTGTCTCACGCTGTGTGTCTGTGTGTCTCACGCTGTGTGTCTCATCATGTCTCACGTTGTGTGTCTCACACTGTGTGTCTCATCATGTCTCACGCTGTGTGTCTCACGCTGTGTGTCTCATCATGTCTCACGCTGTGTGTCTGTGTGTCTCACGCTGTGTGTCTCACGCTGTGTGTCTGTGTGTCTCACGCTGTGTGTCTCACGCTGTGTGTCTGTGTGTCTCACGATGTCTCACGCTGTGCGTCTCATGCTGTGTGTCTGTGTGTCTCACGCTGTGTGTCTCACGCTGTGTGTCTCATCACGTCTCACGCTGTGTGTCTCAAAGCCGCGTCTCATCCCCCCGTCTGCCGCCCCTTGCCCCCGCTCCGCACCCACAGCCGTCAATGGCTACGTGCACGGGCCCGTTGTGTCGGCCTGCCCGGACGTGCACGTCATCTGGCACCTGCTGGGCCTCGGCTCGCAGGGCCTGGTGCTGCCCGTGGGCGTGGAGGGCCACGCCCTCGCCACGAGCCACGGGGCCCAGCCCGCCGTGGCCCTCTACCCCGGCTCCTTCGACACCGTCATGTTCGCCACCACCCACACAGGTGGGGGTGGGGGCGGTGGTGGTGGTGGCGGTGGTGGTGGCGGTGGTGGTGGTGGTGGTGATGGTGGTGGTGGTGGTGGCGGTGGTGGTGGTGGTGGTGGTGGTGGCGGTGGTGGTGGTGGCGGTGGTGGTGGTGGCGGTGGTGGTGGTGGTGGTGGTTGCGTTGGTGGTGGTGGTGGTGATGGTGGTGATGGTGGTGGTGGTGGCGGTGGCGGTGGCGTTGGTGGTGGTGGCGGTGGTGGTGATGGTGGTGGTGGCGGTGGTGGTGGTGGCTGTGGTGGCGGTGGTGGTGATGGTGGTGGTGGCGGTGGTGGTGGTGGCTGTGGTGGCTGTGGTGGCGGTGGTGGTGGCGGTGGTGGTGGTGATGCTGGCGGTGTGGATCACACGGCTCAAGGTCTCTGCTCCTCCGCTGCCTTCCTTTCACCTCCGCCCCCCCCCCCTCCCCGGCCCCTCCCGCCTCAGGCCGCTACCCATTCGGCTACCTGGGTGACGACGTGCATCTCTCGGGCATGCGGGGATTCCTCATCGTGGAGACGTGCGAAGAGGAGGCCGACCCAAGCGACGCCGACTCCTCGGCCATCTGGGTCCTTCCCGCCTCCTCCTCATCCTCCTCATCCTCCTCATCCTCCTCATCCTCCTCCTCATCCTCCTCATCCTCCTCCCCGGTGAACGCCGGCGACTCGGAGCGTTTCTCTTCCAAGCAGTCGCCACCGCCCGCACCGCCCGCGACGCAGGATGCCCACGACCACATCTGCGTCGTCTTCCCGGACGCCTGCGGCGACGACGGGCGGATCAACCTGCGCTCCTTCTCCTCCTCCTCCTCGTCGTCTTCATCGTCGTCGTCCGCCGGGCGGCCCGCCGGGCGGCGCACGGCCGCGGCCGCCGCCGACTCCGGCGTCGTCCGCACGATGAAGAAGTTCCGCCGGGGGTGGCTCGGCAAGCGGGCGGGAGACGCGGCGGCGGAGCGGGGGCGGCCGCGGCCGCCGCCGCCGCCGCTGTCGGAGGCGGACGACGAGGAGCTGAAGAGGGCCCTGGGGATGGAGGCGGACGGGGCGGGAGACAAGCCACGGTGGTGGGGGGGAGGCACGGCCGTGCACGTGGGAGACGACGATTACGCGGACGGCGGCGGCGGAGGAGGAGGTGAAGTAGGAGGAGGAGTGGTAGGAGAAGTTGGAGGAGGAGGAGGAGGTGTAGGAGGTGTGGCAGGAGGTGTAGTAGGAGTAGCAGGAGGTGTAGCAGGAGATGAAGTAGGAGTAGCAGGAGGTGTAGAAGGAGTAGCAGGAGGTGTAGCAGGAGTAGTAGGAGATGTAGCAGGAGATGAAGTAGGAGTAGCAGGAGGTGTAGCAGGAGATGAAGTAGGAGTAGTAGGAGGTGTAGCAGGAGGTGTAGGAGGAGTAGTAGGAGATGAAGTAGGAGTAGCAGGAGGTGTAGCAGGAGATGAAGTAGGAGTAGTAGGAGGTGTAGCAGGAGGAGTAGGAGGAGTAGCAGGAGGTGTAGCAGGAGGTGTGGGAGGAGTAGTAGGAGGTGTAGCAGGAGATGAAGTAGGAGTGGCAGGAGATGTAGCAGGAGGAGTAGCAGGAGGAGTAGCAGGAGGTGTAGCAGGAGATGTAACAGGAGGTGTAGCAGGAGGTGTAGCAGGAGTAGCAGCAGGAGTAGCAGGAGGTGTAGTAGGAGGGGTGCGGCCGTCCGCCAACGCCGCCGCAGCTCCGGGCGGCGGCGCTCCCACCGCACTGCCGACCGCCGCACTGCCGACCACCGAGCCACCGCCACCGCCGTCGCCGTCGTCGGAGGCGGAGTCGGAGGCGGAGTCGGAGGCGGAGTCGGAGGCTGAGTCTGAGGGTCGCGGGGACATGAGCGTCTTTGAGCGGCGGTGCGCGCAGTCCGCCGGCGGCTCCTGCGGCCTTGCGACGCGGCCGCGCGGCGGCCCGCCGACGCCGGAGGCCGACGGCGATGGCGCCGTGCCGGGCAGCCGCAAGGACGCCCTGGGACCCTCCGGGGTGGACGCGGGTTACGGCGGCGACGGCGGCGGCGGCGGCGGCGGCGGCGACGGCGGTGCGGCGGTGCCGGAGCTCAGGATCGTGCCGCTTGACGTGGCACAGGTCGCCGGTGAGCTGGGATTGGCGGCGGGGCCTGAGCGAGGAGGAGTTGGAGGAGGAGGAGGAGGAGGAGGACCGCGGCTGAGGAGGGGAGATGCGGCTGAGGCGGAACCGGCGAAGCGAACGCCGTCGTCACGGCCACCGTCGCCACGGCTACCATCGTCACGGCCACCGTCGCCACGGCTACCTTCGTCATCGTCACCACCACCATCATCAAAAGCACCACCACCATCATCGCGACCACCATCGTCACCACCATCACCAGCACCACCACTATCATCACGAGCAACAGCACCATCACGACCATCATCACGACCACCGCGACCACCATCAACACGACATCAATCACCAGGATCACCATCACCACAACCATCGTCACGACCATCACAATCATCATCACGACCACCATCACAACCATCATCAGGACCACCATCACCATCATCACGACCACCACCATCACAACCATCATCACGACCACCATCACCATCATCACGACCACCACAATCATCATCACAATCACACCAACCACCACCACAACCATCATCACGACCACCATCACCATCATCACGACCACCACCATCACAACCATCATCACGACCACCATCATCACGACCACCACAACCATCATCACAATCATCACGACCACCACCACAACCATCATCACGACCGCCATCATCACAACCACCACCACATCCATCATCACGACCACCACCACCACATCCATCATCACGACCACCACCACATCCATCATCACGACCACCACCACCACCACATCCATCATCACGACCACCACCACCACATCCATCATCACGACCACCACCACATCCATCATCACGACCACCACCACCACCACATCCATCATCACGACCACCACCACCACATCCATCATCACGACCACCACCACCACCATCACGACCACCACAACCATCATCACGACCACCACCACATCCATCATCACGACCACCACCACCACCACATCCATCATCACGACCACCACCACCACCACATCCATCATCACGACCACCACCACCATCATCACGACCACCACAACCATCATCACGACCACCGCCATCACCACCACAACCATCATCACGACCACCGCCATCACCACCACAACCATCATCACGACCACCGCCGTCACCACGACCATCATCAAGACCACGACCACCGTCGCCACCAACATCACCGTCACTGTCATCAGCACCACCACCGCCATCGCCAGCCATCGCGGGCGACTGGCCTGCTGACGAGCCCCACGCGGGCGACACCATTCAGCTGCGCTCCGGCCACGGAAAGCCGGGCGGCGGTGCCGGTGGCCGGGCAGTGGAGGGCGTTCTTCCCGGTGATATCCCGGAGGCGGACTATGACTACGGCGGCGACAGCGCGGGTACAGCGGCGAGCGACTCGCCGGGACGCGTTCCCTCGGTTTCCGTTTCGTGTTTCTCAGTGTTCACTGTTGGAGGCCTCACTTAGACTTCACCCTTACAGGGCTCCCATAGACTTCACCCTTACAGGGCTCCCATAGACTTCACCCTTACAGGCCTCCCATAGACTTCACCCTTACAGGGCTCCCATAGACTTCACCCTTACAGGCCTCCCATAGACTTCACCCTTACAGGGCTCCCATAGACTTCACCCTTACACGACTCCCATAGACTTCACCCTTACAGGGCTCCCATAGATTTCACCCTTACAGGGCTCCCATAGATTTCAATGGTAAAGGCCTCCCATAGACTTCACCCTTACAGGGCTCACTTAGACTTCACCCTTACAGGGCTCCCATAGACTTCACCCTTACAGGGCTCCCATAGACTTCACCCTTACAGGGCTCCCATAGACTTCACCCTTACAGGGCTCCCATAGACTTCACCCTTACAGGGCTCCCATAGACTTCACCCTTACAGGGCTCCATAGACTTCAATGGTAAAGGCCTCCCATAGACTTCACCCTTACAGGCGTCACTTAGACTTCACCCTTACAGGGCTCACTTAGACTTCACCCTTACAGGGCTCCATAGACTTCACCCTTACAGGGCTCCCATAGACTTCACCCTTAGAGGGCTCCCATAGACTTCACCCTTACAGGGCTCCCATAGACTTCAATCTTACAGGGCTCCCATAGACTTCACCCTTACAGGGCACCCATAGACTTCACCCTTACAGGGCTCCCATAGACTTCAATGGTAAAGGCCTCCCATAGACTTCACCCTTACAGGGCTCACTTAGACTTCACCCTTACAGGGCTCCCATAGACTTCACCCTTACAGGGCTCCCATAGACTTCACCCTTACAGGGCTCCCATAGATTTCACCCTTACAGGGCTCCCATAGATTTCACCCTTACAGGGCTCCATAGACTTCAATGGTAAAGGCCTCCCATAGACTTCACCCTTACAGGCGTCACTTAGACTTCACCTTTACAGGGCTCACTTAGACTTCAATGGTAAAGGCCTCCCATAGACTTCACCCTTACAGGCCTCACTTAGACTTCACCCTTACAGGGCTCACTTAGACTTCAATGGTAAAGGCCTCCCATAGACTTCACCCTTACAGGCCTCACTTAGACTTCACCCTTACAGGGCTCCCATAGACTTCACTCTTACAGGCTCCCATAGACTTCACCCTTACAGGCCTCCAATAGACTTCACCCTTACAGGCCTCGCATAGACTTCACCCTTACAGGGCTCCCATAGACTTCACCCTTACAGGGCTCCCATAGACTTCACCCTTACAGGCCTCCCATAGACTTCACCCTTACAGGGCTCCCATAGACTTCAATGGTAAAGGCCTCCCATAGACTTCACCCTTACAGGCCTCCATAGACTTCACCCTTACAGGCCTCCATAGACTTCACCCTTACAGGCCTTCATAGACTTCACCCTTTCAGGCCTCACTTAGACTTCAATGGTAAAGGCCTCCCATAGACTTCACCCTTACAGGCCTCACTTAGACTTCACCCTTTCAGGCCTCACTTAGACTTCAATGGTAAAGGCCTCCCATAGACTTCACCCTTACAGGCCTCACTTAGACTTCACCCTTTCAGGCCTCACTTAGACTTCAATGGTAAAGGCCTCCCATAGACTTCACCCTTACAGGCCTCACTTAGACTTCACCCTTTCAGGCCTCACTTAGACTTCAATGGTAAAGGCCTCCCATAGACTTCACCCTTACAGGCCTCACTTAGACTTCACCCTTTCAGGCCTCACTTAGACTTCAATGGTAAAGGCCTCCCATAGACTTCACCCTTACAGACCTCACTTAGACTTCACCCTTTCAGGCCTCACTTAGACTTCAATGGTAAAGGCCTCCCATAGACTTCACCCTTACAGGCCTCACTTAGACTTCACCCTTTCAGGCCTCACTTAGACTTCAATGGTAAAGGCCTCCCATAGACTTCACCCTTACAGGCCTCACTTAGACTTCACCCTTTCAGGCCTCACTTAGACTTCAATGGTAAAGGCCTCCCATAGACTTCACCCTTACAGGCCTCACTTAGACTTCACCCTTTCAGGCCTCACTTAGACTTCAATGGTAAAGGCCACCCATAGACTTCACCCTTACAGGCCTCCCATAGACTTCACCCTTACAGGGCTCACTTAGACTTCACCCTTACAGGGCTCCCATAGACTTCACCCTTACAGGGCTCCCATAGACTTCACCCTTACAGGGCTCCCATAGACTTCACCCTTACAGGGCTCCCATAGACTTCACCCTTACAGGGCTCCATAGACTTCAATGGTAAAGGCCTCCCATAGACTTCACCCTTACAGGCGTCACTTAGACTTCACCCTTACAGGGCTCCATAGACTTCACCCTTACAGGGCTCCCATAGACTTCACCCTTAGAGGGCTCCCATAGACTTCACCCTTACAGGGCTCCCATAGACTTCAATCTTACAGGGCTCCCATAGACTTCACCCTTACAGGGCACCCATAGACTTCACCCTTAGAGGGCTCCCATAGACTTCACCCTTACAGGGCTCCCATAGACTTCAATCTTACAGGGCTCCCATAGACTTCACCCTTACAGGGCTCCCATAGACTTCACCCTTACAGGGCTCCCATAGACTTCAATGGTAAAGGCCTCCCATAGACTTCACCCTTACAGGGCTCACTTAGACTTCACCCTTACAGGGCTCCCATAGACTTCACCCTTACAGGGCTCCCATAGACTTCACCCTTACAGGGCTCCCATAGATTTCACCCTTACAGGGCTCCATAGACTTCACCCTTACAGGGCTCACTTAGACTTCACCCTTACAGGGCTCCCATAGACTTCACCCTTACAGGGCTCCCATAGACTTCACCCTTACAGGGCTCCCATAGACTTCACCCTTACAGGGCTCCCATAGACTTCACCCTTACAGGGCTCCATAGACTTCAATGGTAAAGGCCTCCCATAGACTTCACCCTTACAGGCGTCACTTAGACTTCACCCTTACAGGGCTCCATAGACTTCACCCTTACAGGGCTCCCATAGACTTCACCCTTAGAGGGCTCCCATAGACTTCACCCTTACAGGGCTCCCATAGACTTCAATCTTACAGGGCTCCCATAGACTTCACCCTTACAGGGCACCCATAGACTTCACCCTTAGAGGGCTCCCATAGACTTCACCCTTACAGGGCTCCCATAGACTTCAATCTTACAGGGCTCCCATAGACTTCACCCTTACAGGGCTCCCATAGACTTCACCCTTACAGGGCTCCCATAGACTTCAATGGTAAAGGCCTCCCATAGACTTCACCCTTACAGGGCTCACTTAGACTTCACCCTTACAGGGCTCCCATAGACTTCACCCTTACAGGGCTCCCATAGACTTCACCCTTACAGGGCTCCCATAGATTTCACCCTTACAGGGCTCCATAGACTTCAATGGTAAAGGCCTCCCATAGACTTCACCCTTACAGGCGTCACTTAGACTTCACCCTTACAGGCCTCACTTAGACTTCACTCTTACAGGCTCCCATAGACTTCACCCTTACAGGGCTCCCATAGACTTCACCCTTACAGGGCTCCCATAGATTTCACCCTTACAGGGCTCCATAGATTTCAATGGTAAAGGCCTCCCATAGACTTCACCCTTAC